AATCAACATTTAGGAATAGAGAATAAAAAATAAGAAACATATACGATTTCAAAAGAGAAAAGATCACAATAAATGATAAATAGATACTTATATGATTAAGTATGGTACCTATCTGTAACTTAAGATTCGTTCATTCATTAATCATTTAATAGTTAATTTTAAGTACTTTAGAAAATAAATGATTGTTATATAAAAGTTTCCAAAAACAACTTAGTAGGTAGGTAGGTAATTATTGTCCAAGAATTAGATAATATCTTATGATTTAACACTTAATTTTATGAATCAAATTGAATTAGCACTTAAATTTTATAATAATTATATAAAATATATTTTATATAATTATTAATTAACATTTATTTAAACATTGTTCTTAACATGTAATTAAATGTAAAATAGCAATGGTGTTACAAATATGTAATGAAATAATGTCGAATCACCTAATATTTTGTGGAAAACGCTTAATTATAGTAGCGTGTATATTGCATATGTCAGGCGGCGCATGCGCAGCTCGCGTGCGCTACTTGTGCCACCCTACCAAAACACTATTGTCGATGTCTCTACAAAAAAACTCGCCCAGATTGTTTACTCCACTTTTTACCTTTTTTAAACTTATACTCACCTTTTTATACGTATTTTAGTCGCGGCGCGCGTCTACTAGCTTTGTATAGCACTCATTGAAGCGTTATACGTCTCTATTGTGTGTAGACATGTCGTATTAATTCATTTTTAATGTTTTGCTAAATAGAGATAATCCCCAGATTTAAGTGGGCTTATTAAAATAGATTTATTCATTTGGCAGACATTCTAAATATTTTATAAATCAACTGAAAACCATATTTTATAAATATTAATATGTAAACGAGTACCTAAAATAATAAATATTCAGCTGTATTGATATGAAACATATACATATGTCATGTAATTCATTTCCAACACATTATATAAGTCAATACCTATTTAAATAGTATATATTTATTTTTATACTAGCATTGTCCGCGGCTCCGCCCGCGTTCATATGACCAAAACCAAATTCTTAGGTTTTATATATTAGTATACCTATTAGTTGACCCGGATAACCAGATATTACCATACCGAATTTCTTCAAAATCCCTCCAGGGATTTTTCTGTGATGCGGTCACAGACAGACAGACAAAAGATAAAGAAAAAAACTATAGGTTCGGCCTCTATTAGCGATAATAATGTGTATTTCAATAAAATTTTCCAAAAGATATTTAAAGCACAGATACTGCTTCATTAAATTTTAATGTATCTATAGATGTAACTAATTTATAAAGCCGCGGGGCCGCGGGTAATTTAGTAGTAATTCTAATAAAATCATAGAAAGGTCGAATTTGTACATTCAATTTTTTGGAATTAAAACTACGTATTTTAAAGACACATGGCGACATCTATTGACAAATATCTAAATAATACATAAGGAAATATTCATTAAAATAATTTTTTTAATGTATAAAATATAATAGTGCTATTGTATAATATATTGTATTATTTTTTACTTTTTCAAGATTAGCTATTTTTAATAGTTTTTGACATATTTAGTAAGTTAACTTTCTAAAATCTATATAGTATAATCGTTTTTTTTATTCTAATCAGTTTTTGTATTTTTTCTCAGAAATTAGATATTTTTCTGCGGTAAAAAGTATCCTATATGTAGACCCGGATAATCAGCTATGTCCATACCAAATTTCATCAAAATCTGTCCAGTAGTTTTTCTGTGATGCGGTAACAGACAGACAGACAAACAGACAGACAGACAGACAGACCGACAGACAAAAATTCTAAAAACCACAGATTAGGCCTCTGTATCGAAAATAATGTCTATTTCAATAAGATTTTCTAAAAAATATTTAATGTACAGATTTGACTTAGTTAGAATTTTATTATATGTATAGATTTGATCGACTCATTGCCTAAACCAGTCAGGATGATATTTAGCGCAGAAATTGTGTTGTAGCGATCTTTATACGGGACAAAAGCAAGTAAACTTATTAAATAGTCACCGTTGTATAATTATACAACCTAAGAAAAAACATAATTAGACGGGTATATAAGTTTCTTAAATATTTGCCTAATACTTAACTATAATATAATTTAAAATGAGCGAAGAATTCAGATGGACCTATTCAATTATTCAAGCTTGAATCATGTCATAGTAGAGTGGACCGTGAGAGCAACCTCTTGGTTGTCGTGGACGGGGAGGAAGGTAACTTCTTTAAAAAAAATATCCCTAATCTCAAGGTGTGCCGAGGGCATGTATTATCAGATGACAGCCGGCTTTATTGCTCAGGATGAGGTCAACTCGGTATATCAGCCGTCGGGATATTGTAGTTGAATGCGAAAATGACCCCAATAGGACGGGAAAGGTTCCATTTGTTACGTAGTGGTATGTTAAAGTATGTATGAATACTAACCTCTCCCTATTTTCCAATTACAGAACATAATGCCGCACTTTGGCGCACAAACACGAACAACGCGAAAAAACACTTATATTTTCTGCTACTGAGTTGATTGGTCACGCCAAAGCAGTATTTTTTAGTGCTCGATTGTGTGGAGTGCTGTAGTATTACTAGTTAAAAAAAAACGAAGTTTAGCATTATGCCGCATAATGCGCTATAGTGCTGTAATTCGATAACAGGGACTAAATACACCAGGTACTTGAAGTTCTTTTTATGACTGAAGAATTTTCTTCCCAAACTGATTTTTTAAATATTAGTAATTTTCTGTTAATATCTCTACTAATATTTTTACTGGAAAGTTACTAGGTACCTAGTTAAAACGGGTATACAAAATACATAGATACTTATTTATATTTCGCATGTATGTAATTATTTTTCCACAAAACCCTTACTCTTCCATAAGACTTTTATTAAAATCCCAAAAACCTTTATACATCCGTATCGCTATTAAAAGGCATCTTAGATAAAACATAGCATTAAATATATTTCCAATTGAAGTAATTAAAACAATAAATCAAATATATTACTAAGTATGTAAAATTGTAGATGTGAGAATGATGAGTTTAGATATTATAAGTGGTAATCTTCGAAATTACTGTCCCGATTCTTAAAAGACTAGGTCATAAAGCTGCGTTAAGCACTAGGTTATTTGTGAGTCCAATTAGATAATTTAATTTTGAAATACGAATGATAAAGCTTATATTAAGTAAGAAATCGCAAATCTATACCAGTAATTCTAGACTATCCAGTACCTATAGTATGTGTATAATATTTCAATAGTTTCTTTACAATCGGTGGATGGTTCGGTTAAGGAACATTTAGATACATTTAATAAAAAAAAATACAAGTATAATCATTTTTATAAATACTAGCGACTCACCCTCGTTTCGGTGATTATTTAAATTGACATAATTTTTTTACTTATGAACCGATTGAAATAAAACAAATACTGAATGTTAACTGAAGATTACCACAATACATTAGTGAAAATTGCACCCAAATCGGTTAAGCCGTATCTGGAATTAGGCGCACAAAAGCACAGACAAACGGATAGACGAGCAAAAATTCTAAAAATCATAGTTTTTGTTCTATTGCGTTAATAATAGCTTTTCTCAAATATCTTACATGTACAGACAGCGATCAGTTACGCTTTTATTATATGTATAAATAAGTGTAAGATAACCACATAGAAGTGATGATAGTTATTGAAAACAAGGCTGAAGATCGAGCTTAGTTATTAATTAAATATTAACTGGACATATTCAAGAATCCTGGTTGGTAGAAAGTGTAATAAATTGTGTTTCCCTAAGTAGTGTCTTTGTTCTCCACACACCATCAGTAGGAAGATTTCCGAGTTAGATGACGATCAAAATGCACTTTGCCTTAACCAAACATTTCTATATTAAATAGCAATTAAAATATTCAACCCTTGCGAGGATCGAACTGCCAAGAAGATTTCCCTTTATATTAATGTTATACATTTACAATTCATAAAAATTTAAAACTTTTCTGTTTCATTTTGGTATGGAAGCTGTGATTTATAAAATAATTATATTTGGCTTATATTTTACTAGTCGGAGCTTAAAGGAGAATAAATTAAATGCAAGAATGTTATTTATGCTTGTATTAGTTCGATTTTTAACAAATCTCGATACTGAAAAGTAAACATCTCATGTCATTTTAATGAAACTATACAAGTTAAAAATTAAGAAAGTAATAAAGTGAAAAAAAAAAATTTACATTACAATTTCTTTTTACAAATGCGGTGACTTCTCCGGATCTGGAATGCATGTATCATAATATGGCGTCTTTGAGGCATTTATTTCAGGATAAAATATTGTTACTATAAGTAAGTTTTACAGAAATGTAATTATTTCAGCCTTTAGATCAACTATACTCAACCTGGGCCGCATGCGTCCCGCCGGGCCTTTGTTATTGGCCCATCTGAAGTTAAGAAAACATCTCAGAGTTGGCTTCCGTTTTAAATTGTAATTACTCAGAGTTGTTTGATGAGTTCATCGATTTTGAAAGCGATACCAATCTAGAAGTTCTGTTTAAAGAAAAAAGGGAAAACAGACCATGACTGAAAGGCCCCTATAAAAAAAAAGGTTGAGTATGGCTGCTTTATATGTTAAGCAATCGAGCGAAGCACCTACTATATGTACGAATTAATTGTAAAAGTAAAAATAATTAAATATTTATAAGTTTAATTTACATTATAAGTGTACTATTTTATTACACTTGAACTGTTAAAAAAAACAAAATCAATTTAAAAAAAATTATCCCTTTTTATATATGAATAGTCTATGTGACATAGTTAATTTTAACCAATTACTAAAACTGTTCCAAAGAAAACTATTCAAATATACAAATATAATAAATGAACTGATCAAACATACAAAACACTTTTTTAACATCAATAACAAAAGTTTATAAGAAGATCTGATCACATCTCTTGTACAAAATTGTATCCAAATTGTGTTTAGCCTAAGAATAAATAAATGTTCATATCTGGCAGCATCAGCAAGTGTTGACTGAAGCTAAGTACTCGTTATACTTCTTCTCTTGAGCGAGCTGAAGTTTTTGTAACTTCTTTATAAGTCCTTTACTCAGCTCCTTTCCCTCGTGGTCGTGTGTCGGAAGACCCTAATCAAACAACAAATATATGTAAATTTTATTACAGTAATGGACAACAAGTGTTACCCTTATTATAAATATTATAAAGAAAATAAAAACCACAAAACAAAAAAAAAAATAATTAAATAAAATGTAATGCTTTGGTGACATGTATAACTTATTACTATTTTTTACTGCTGATTTTCAATTATTTAAAATCCTATTTCAAATATGTATTCTTATAAATAAAACACTGAAAAGATTAAAAAAAATAATTTTTAATGAGTAACTGAAAATAATTACAATTAAATTAATTTTTAACAAAACTAGCACAAATTACAGTAAGTTTATAAGGGCAGAGCGCAATGTTGCTTTCTCGATGTCTGGTGACAAAATGAGCCCTTCCACTCATCGTCTCCTATTTATACACGTGGTCACGCAGTACATGTCTAAATAGTGTTGCCATCTAACACGGCCTCTCCTGACATGGCAGCGTCCTCGCGGTCCTCATCAGTCCTTGATGATGGATCAGCACCATCTTGGTCTTGATCTTCATCGCAACTTTCAAAGAAGCCAGCACATGTGTCGGGCGTCCATTCGCCACGCCACAACACCATACAGCCAGCAGCTGCTTGACTGGTTTTACCATATGAACCAGCTAGCAATCTCAGTTCGTACCTGTCGTTAGGTAGAACACTTATGACCTTATATGGGCCACGCATGCCACAATCTAATTTGCCAATACTCTGAGATCTCTTGATGACAAAGACTAGGTCATTTACATTGAACCTTTTTGGAGGATTTCTATTCTTATTAACATATGCGTCTTGTTTAGCTTTATTTTTATTAATTAACTCATCCGCGCGTTGTCTACGTAGCTCACGAATTGCCTCGCGGTTAGGATTTGATCCTTCAAGTGCAACATCTCTTATTAAAGAATTAATTACTGGCGTAGTGGATTCCGTGCCAATTAATAGGTTTAATGCGGAATACTGTGTAGTCTTATGTTTGGTAATATTTAATACTAACTGTAATTTCCATAAAACCTTTGACCATTCATTTGCATTATTATTAACCTCTATCCTAACCATATTTAACACAGTACGGCAATATCGTTCCACCTGACCGTTTTCCTGATGCATCTCAGGCGTAATAAAGTGTACTTCGATACCAAAATCATCTAACCAACGTACAAAATTATTATTATCAAACATTCGGCTTCGATCGCACACAAGCCGCTTGAAAGTGCCAAACAAAGATATAGTCTGAGTTATTACGAGCTTTAACTCGTGACTATCCTGTCTGTACCGTCTTTCTTTTTCACAAGTAAGATCGGGCTAGCATATTCTGACTCCGATTCGCGAATTATGCCTTTCTCTAATAAATCTTTAACTATAGCGCGAACACGTATTTTCTCGTCATAAGACAATTTATATGGTCGGTAATATATCGGAACGTCACTAGTCAATTTAATCTGCATTTCACTATCTCTAACTGTAGTGGTAGCAGTACCGGTTAAAAAGTAATTGGAATATTTACTCAAAACATTTAACAATTGTTCCCTAACCTTTCCAGTAACAGCTGTCGATACATTCTCTAAAATTGATAACGAGTTTACTTGAGTAATATTATTTACATAAGCACTACTGTGGACAATACACTGTGTGTCACCGGTACGAATATAGGCAACACCTTTTCTATTTAAAACGTCGGTACCAATAATTACGGGCACATTTAAATGACTCTTATCCACAATATAAAAATCAACTTCTAATGTGATATCATTTAACTGTATCGGTAATGTAACCATAGACGTTGCTACAACCTCCATACCGCCTAAGCCTCGTAATAATTGGTGAGCTGGTTTTATTCTACACGAAAAGTATTTAATTAAATCAGATATTATCAGAGAAACACTTGAACCGCTGTCTATGAGTACATCGACGGGTATATTGAATATGACAGCCGTAACTACATCAGGATTTTTACGCTCACCCTCATTTTCGCGACAAAAATTAACGGTGTTATTATTTCTAACGCGTTCCTTAGCAAAACACTGGATTTCCGTATGACCTAACTTCTTACAAAAACCACACTTGTCAAGTCGAGGTTTTGTTGAAGAACTACCCCCACTGTTATCGGAATTTTTGTTTTGAGTTTCTGGCTTAGGTCGTTTGGGGCAAAGATCACGCTTATGACCTACCTCGTTACACTGATAGCAGCGGATTTTAAATGTGTCAAAAGATTTTCGTTTTAACTGGATATTACTGTTACGATTTGAAACACTATGAGTACTGATTTTCTTATTAGAATTAGATACACCACACTTTACGAAGCTTGACAAGTATTCTACTATACATTCAGGTGTTAATTTAGCGTTCATTGCGGATGCACGAATCTGTGGGTCAGTAATGCCCCGTATAATTATAGCAGTTAGCAATTCACTACTTAACCCTTTGACGATGCGTAATTTTAGTAAAGATTTACGAGCATATTCGGCGTAAGTGGAATACTTGTCAGACTCAGTACACATAACATTATACAGAATGTTCGCAATATCGACAGACCGTGGACACAATGCTTTCAATTCTAATTTGAAGTTAGACCAAGTACGTGTGGTACTCGTCCACTCGCTAAGCCAGGTGCGTGCTTCACCTTTAAGACAACGACCTATGCGAGCAAGGCATTCACTATCCTCCCAACGATTAAGAGATTTAGCTTTATCAACTTCATCGCACCACGTGTCGACATCATGAACACTCGGGTCAAAATCTGAGACAAAATATTGATTCGATCTCACCGGGAATTGGATGATAGCGTCTAGGAAGCGTTCTGCAACGCTTTTTGCGTCGTTCCCCGCAGGCGTCGATGTGGCAGCGACGTCTTGTGCAGAAGCTGGGGGTGCGCAGGCAGGTGTTGTGGCAGGCTCCACAGCTGGCAGTGGCGTGCTTGGCATAGTGAGAGCTCGGCAGGGCTCCGGGGTTACCACCGAAGCAGATAGAAGCTCGCTCCCGCGTGCCCGTTCCTCCAGATCTTGTAGTCTCTTCAAAATCTCGTTCAGAGTATTAGAAGGCGAGGGAGTACGTGTACGACGCCTCCCTTTCCTTCTAGAGTCCGCAGGCATTGCGTCTCTGCCCAACTTAATCTCAATGATACAATTCTTCGACAGAGAATAAAACACACCATAAAAGATCGAGAATTACCTACTTCGTCAAATTTATAAAATCAGTCGGATTCTCGGGCGGTTAAGGCCTTCGAATCCCACTTCTGATCTTATAAATAAAACACTGAAAAGATTAAAAAAAATAATTTTTAATGAGTAACTGAAAATAATTACAATTAAATTAATTTTTAACAAAACTAGCACAAATTACAGTAAGTTTATAAGGGCAGAGCGCAATGTTGCTTTCTCGATGTCTGGTGACAAAATGAGCCCTTCCACTCATCGTCTCCTATTTATACACGTGGTCACGCAGTACATGTCTAAATAGTGTTGCCATCTAACAGTATATTTATTTTAAAATCAAATTAAGTCATTTTGCTAAATACCTTGTCATCGAACTGGGAGTATTTTTCTGTTTCACGTTTAAACATTTCAGTTGGAGGAATTTTCTTCTGCTCTTCCTTAGCTCGCTGCGCTTCTAACAAATCTTGCTTTTTCTTCAATTTCTCCGCTTCTTGTCGTCTTTTCTCTTCTCTCTCTTTCATCAATTCTTCTTTGCTTACGAGCTTCACAACTGTTCTGTCTAATAAAATAAAGAGGATGTTAAGTTAAAAAAGTCGAAATAGATATGATCTAGTCTAGATATGAGTCTAATATTTTTTAATAAATAATGCACTCCTGCCTGATTTCGGTCACGCCGGCCAATGAAAATCAAATCAAAATCAAAATATTTTATTCAGCATTAAATTATTACAATTTTTTACTGAACGTCATGAGTCTACTACCAGTTCGGAAAGAAGAAGCCTCAGATCTGAGAAGAAGTGGCGAAAGAATCTCACTGATAACTATTTGCACATGAGAAATTAAACAAGTGCGTAAGTGATCTTGCGACGCCTCATTAAGACAAGAGAGGTACTATTTGGATTTTAGTGGGTAGGTACTGGGTTCTCCAGACGCTGACTTCCACAAGGTTTTGTGGTTCCAACAAGGTGGTTGTATGTATGCAGGCGGTATGCGTGAATGCATTTTCCAACATAAATAAGGCCGAAAGTCTATATATCAATCCTCTATTAAGCTTCTGTTGTGCCAGTGGGTAGTACTGTTTTTTTTTTTCAACTGTATCGATGCAGGTTGTAATATGTTATGAATGCATTTCTCAACATAAAAAAGGTGATAATGTATATAACAAGTAGATTACCAGGCTTATCCTCCAGCCGCACGCCCAGCTCCGGCAGCACGGCGTCGCGCAGGCGGTCGCACAGCGCCAGCACGGCGGCCGCGCCCGCGCCGCGCGCCGCCTCGCGCACCTCCGCGCGGAACGTGCTCAGCGCTTCTAGGTACGGCATCACGGCTTCTTCCAACTGCAATCGTTTAAATTATACTAGCGACTCATGTTCGTCCCCAAGTAGACCACAGGCAGCCAATCTGTTGCGAATCCTCAACCACATACAGCCCAACACTGCCATGCACTGCGCACGCGCACAATATGCACATGCGATTGAGATGCTGCGTGCACACTAGTCCGCAGAGCAATCTGCCAACCGCAGTTTAGCCTATTATATACTATAAGCTGAAAAACCATCACTAGCACCAATCATCCACCTCGGGCTCTTCACCGCACTAAACCACACATAGCCCATCAGTGTCGTAACACAAATGAATGGCGCATTAGGTGCGCGTTAGATGAAATTGCGGAACACTTATGCCCGATTTCACCAACGTCACCTAAGTTTAAGGGATCCCCTAAGCATGGTTAGGGGGCTGTTAGGGGACAGTTTCTGTCTCACCGACAGTTAGGGGTCACCTAAATATTAAAAAGCCCCCTAAATTTAGGTGCTCGAAATATGGACTTAAAGACGATCGTAAAACGAAATTTAATTTAGGGGCTAGTTTAGGGGACATTTAAGCTAGGGATTCCATACGTAGGTGGTAGCTTATGGGTTGTTGGTGAAATCGGGTAATAGTCGCAGATCTCGTCTAAAGTACTGTACCACCCATGTGTACCCTCATCTGTACCGCAAGCTGTATTGCGCAATAGGTGCATGCACGATATAGATACATACCAGTGGCGAAAGGTGAAATTTTAGCAGAGGTAAGCCGTTCCAAAAAAAACAGACACAAAAACATTGATATACTATTTTTATATACCAATGCAAAAAAAAAGAAATGTAAGAATGAAGATATTTTTTTTCTTAAAAAAACCTGATAAATTATTAATAACGCCATCTATGAAAAATCATTACGCATCACATAATAAGTAAAAGTACGGAAATTTGATTTAAGAACGCGTCATTTTATTTTTGTTCAATATGAGTATATTTTAAAATCTGAGTATACTTTTTGGGATTTAAATATTCTTTATTTTTGTTAATTGGACATAAATAAATATAAGCAATATATTTAAATATAAGCGCCATCTACTGACACCTCGTTGAACGACTTTGTCTTTCTTACTAATGAGATTGATTTTATTATTTATAGTATTTTATTTATCAAACCAAATTGAACGAAAATTATGAAATAAGTATAACCTATTTAGTATTTAGCTTAATTCGTCAAATTATATTGTTAATGTAACGTAAAATAACTTTAAAATATTAATATTTACTCTTAACCTAAATACAATTACAGAATAATAACCATGGCAAACTAAATATTTTTCTAATTTAGCACATATACACATATTTTTAGTAAAAAGTTTTATGAAAATATTTAGATAACACATTTCATGTAATAATTAAGTCAAATTTCAAATAAATGCTTGACGACATAATTTTTATTTATTACACAACTACGTTTAGAAAATTAAAGTCAATATTATGTAAATTAATGTCATAATGGCTAATATAACTCACCGAAATTAACAAATATGTGAAACACACAGCAAACACAGCACAAAATGTCTATATTACGCTAAAATCAAGTTAAAACTTTTTAAAATAAAAAAATAAAACTCATACGCAATGCACTCGTAAACCATAATAAACCGCCATAATATTAATTTTGACATTTTGTAATTTCCGACTAATCACAAGCAGGATTCCAATATTCCTGCAGGATAAGACGTTGAGGAGCAGCTTTTCGAGCAACATAAAGACTAGTGCGCATGTGTAAAGTGCTAAAAATGAAAAAGTCACGTGACAATGTTCAATTCAAAAGTATGAATGAAACACAATTTAGTATGAACACGGTAAACTAAAATGCAACGTCTTATCGTTGCATTTTATGAAGAAACGCCTAAGCAATTTGGAGCGCAAATTCATTTTTGCTTATGATTTTTTGTAGGCGTTATATTAATTTTAGAAATTGACGTGGTAATAATAAGTTAATTGTTTAATTATGTTAATTCAAAAAATAAATTAAATGAATGACGTATTATTGGATCTGTAAAAGGTAAGACGGTGGAAATCGTCTCGTATGGACCCTTCGCCACCGATACATACATAGGTGCGTACACACTAGCTCGCACTTTAGCCATATACAGCTAGATATTCCACAGCACTCACATGGAGACTGTCCGCTTCGGCCACGGGGAAGCCGATGCCCCCGCGCGGGCCCTCCACGGCGCCGAACACGTGCAGCACGTCGGTGGCGTAGCGCGCCGCGGCCGCCAGCGCGCGCGAGCAGCGCGCCGCGCCGCGCAGGTACACGTGCGACGCGCCCACTAGCTCGCGCAGGGCGTCTATTGCGGCACGCGTGTCGATGTTGTCTGTAAATAAATCGTTTTAAAACAAAGTACCTGGGCGACCGAGCTTCGCTCGGAGTTTTAGGTCCGAGATTACAATATAAAAAATACTTGAATAAATACAAAAAAAACAAGTGTAAATACTTTGTATCCGACCGGGATTCGAACCCGGACACGATGCTTATGCCGGAGTGACATATGAACGAATGAAATATGAATGTATGAACAGTGAAAAATACATAATAAATGCAAAAACACCCAGGAACACATTCAAGCGAAGCGAAGGTAAGTCGCTAGATTAAATATATTTTAAGGGCGTAAATATTTAGCAGTAATAATCCCGGTCGTACTCACCACACAATGCGGCGTGTACTTGTTCCTTGACAGCGCTGAGCTTGGCCCACAGCTGCTGCTCTTCGGGGTGCCACGACCCACCGTTACCTTCATCGTAGCCGCTCCGTAAGGCGTCTTTAACCGTTAGGAAAAACTCCTACAAAATCAATATGATAAAGTACAGTTTTAATAAACATTATTAATTCTATTAATAACTAGCGACTCACGCTCGCTTCGCTCAGGTTTGTCCCTAGGTACATTTTGATGCTTAGTATGGAATTTTATTTTTTTATTTTTTTTCGTGAATTTTTCCGATGTTTTACTATTTATTCTGTTATTCAGGGTAAAGAAAAACCAACAAAACAAAGATCATAAAAATCGGTCCATCAGTTCTCGAGTTATAAGTGTTTTACCAAACCCGACTTTGTTTTATATATATAGATGTTGTACTTTTTACTTTTTTCAAATCTAACATTTTACTTTTCAGATTTGACGAACTTAAATAAATTCAACATTTAATGAAATAAATATAGTAATAAATTAAACAAAATACTAACATTAAACAATTTCTCAGTTTGGATAGCCATTTCCATGGTATTATCAGAATAATCTAAAGTATCCTTCCAGCTATGTAACAAGAAAGCTATCCTTAATTGTCTTGCAGTATGACGTTTTAGTGCATCGGAAATGGTCACAAAGTTCTTTAACGACTTTGACATCTTGCAGCCTGCAATCGTGAGATGGCCCGTATGCAGGAAATAATTCACCCAGCCCGGCTTGTCAAAATGTGCCTGCAAATGTATTTTAATAAAATTTATAGAAAATGGCTCGTTTTCCTCATGATAAGCTTGTGTCACAATAAATAAATAATTATAAAAGAGTAGGTAACAAGTTTTTTTAATTTAGTTTCAATGTGGAAATGTGTGAAACTAGCAGTGAAAACATTTATTTACATGTTATAATGAAGATCTCTACTCTAAGCTGAGCAATTGATGTTTTTTTAAATGGACATAATTTAATATCTTAATAACCAAAAATTTAGTCACTTCATGTCCGTTTTATTTCTAAAATATTAATAATATTTAAATTTAATGTAAAGTGAATTATATAAATCCTTAGAGACGTCATTAAAAAGTACACTAAGATAATTTGACTTTAGAAATAGATTTTTTCTACTAGTCTTGACAACTGTGGCTCGGCGGTTAGTGACAGATTAAAATCATATAATAAAGCTTTCTGCTCTATCATATACATCAAATAACATAACTTTTGATATATTAAAGACTATTGACATATCGTCGCTTTGCTTGGCTTTTTCTAAACTTAAAGGTAGCCTAAGTTATTTTTTATAAAATCGGCCGTTTCGGAGATTAGCCGATACAAATAGATAGATAGACAGACAGACAAAAAAAATAAAAATTGCGTATTTCTTATAAGAACCATATATAAATGCATATGCATTTAGCAGATAGACAGATAGACAAACATTAAAAAATTGTGTTTTTTTTTGTAAATATGGCATAAAAATTCATATTGATTTAATTAAAAGCTGTTATCTTGACATTACAAACAGACACTTCAATTTTACTTATCTATATAGATTAATTTAAAAAGCAAACATACCTCACTTTGAGCTAGTTCATTATCATGATGAGGAAACTTCAAATCCACACCTCCTGTATGTATATCTAGATTTGATCCACACACATCAGATGCCATAGCAGAGCACTCTATATGCCAGCCTGGTCTTCCCTTACCCCATGGAGAGTCCCATGAAGGCTCACCTGCCTTGCTTCGTTTCCAGAGAGCAAAATCATTGGGAGAACGCTTTTCAACTGCATCATCACTGAGGTCGCCTAGAGTAATGTAAAATTAAACACAATAATTCCAAAGATCCGAACTAAAATTGTGTTATAATTTTTGTTTTCTATATCAAATATATCACTGGTGAACATTTGTGTTACGTCTTTACAATATAATAGCTCAACATATTTGAGTGCATTTGGAATTCTTTGAGTTGGAAAATGGCCATGTGGAGCATTGCATATAAATATACTTTTTATGAACAGTTGGCTTGCATTGTAGTTCTGCAAGCAAATGATAAGTATCTGAACGATTTCTACGAGTACTCCTAAATCATAAAATGTTGATTTGGTATATATTATGCATTTCTGTTAAATGATATATGATATGACTATGTACATATTATTTTATTTTATAATGTTTTCCAAGTTCCACAATTAACAACACAATTTAGTGTTCTAGCACTGTATGTGAATTAAAATATAATAAATAATTACCTTCTCCTTCTTGTAATGATTTAGTATCCCCATAAGCTTCCGGAACAAGCCTAGCGTAATGATGCTTATCCTTGCTATCAAATTCACTAACATTGAAATATACAGATCCATTTGATTCATAAGCTAAGCCATTATCTATTATTTTTTGAATGAATGAAATTATTTGTGGTATATATTCACTTACTCTAGTTAAAACATCTGGTGGCAAAACCTGAAATATTAATTATATTATTACAAGCCAAATGTTACAGACAGAAATATAATTATAATTTTTTCTCAATACACTTGTAAGTTACTTACATTAAGTGCTTTCATATCTTTATGAAATTCATTTTCCCAATATCTAGGTAGTAATGTGAAAATTGCATTGTCTGTAACTGTTGCTCCATACCTTTTGTCTAACCATTCTGATATGGGATCTTTTGCGGATTTCAATAACTCAAGTTTAGCTTTATTAATTTTATCCTCATCATTTTCTTCTACTGCTGCCTTAAGGACTTTTACAGCTGATGCAACACTATGAAAAGTAAACATTTATAGACAAATTACTTTATTTATCATCACTTTTAGGTATTTTAACGATATAAATTTAGAGACAAAACATACTTATCTAACATCCTTTGCATAGTATTTTTCTTATCTAGATCCACAGTATCCTTAACAACATTTTCATAATAATCTACCACAGCTGTTGCATCATCTATAATAGTATTAAGATCTCTTTCTTCTTTTGCATATTTTTCATATAAATAATTTTGTCTAGCTCTTTTAATAATTTTGTCATCAATATCAGTTATATTCATAACATATAGAACATCATAGCCAAAGTAATTAGACATAACACGTCGTAAAATATCGAAGGAAATATATGACCTGCAATAAATAATCGTTCCTAATATAACAATGATTTAATTATTCTAATTTTAATTAAAAGCTTTTACTAAACAGGGATATGTTTAAGAATATATTTAAAAAAATATATTCTAATTTAATGTTTAGAATCTAATTAAATATACCTAGTTTTATAAATAATTTTACCTTGCATGACCCATGTGTGAAGCATCATATACAGTAGGACCGCAACTATACCATTTTACTTTATTGCCATTTGAACACACGAATTCTTCTTTTTGTCGTGTCAGACTATTGCTAAGTTTTAAAACTGGCCTGTCTCTTACTGAGGTTGGTAAGGACCAAGTTGGTAGTGTTCTTTTAGACATTTCAATTACTTGCCAAATAACCTAAAAGTATTTAAAAATAAAATCCTTTAATAACAACAATAAAAGCACGGAGTAATAGAAATATTGTTCCACGTATGTACTTTGAAAAGTATAAAAAATCCACCTCATCAAATATCACAGTTTCGGCATTTATAAACCACAATGCAATAAATTGACAAATGACAGTTGACACTTGACAGGTAAGCCGTGGAAAATGGAATTTATCTCTCAACGTCTATCACTTTGGCACTTGGCAGTTTGAGACAAAGTATGGCGGCTATATGATCTCACCGAGACATCAGGGAACATAGTGAGTGCGAGAGTGTGCAGGCTCATCTAGAATAGGTACACACTCGTGCCTGTCCTGGGTAATGAATAAGTCACAGTAGCCTTTACTGTTCTTAGTTTCTTTTTTCTTGTAAGCTTCCCAAATTTTAAGCGTTATATGCTGCTTGGTCAGAATAAATGAAATGCCATAGCACAAATGGACGGAAACAATATCTGAAATGATTATGTACATATAATCAATAACATCGAAATAGATATTCTATTTATAGATAATTAGATGAATACTTCTTTTATCATTAATTAAATATTTGGATAAGAGAGGAAATAGCACTTCTATTTTAAACAACATAGACCTATAAGAGCAGACAGAAAAAAATACATACAAAAATGGTAATTATTTTCCATAGAGCATAAACTTGAATTCACAAAATTCTCTATTGAGCCTTTTTGACAAATAAAGCTACCAGGCCGAGTATCTATTTTGATCGTGGATGTGTGCAAACATTCTAGTCAAAGCGTGAACTTAGTAATATCTCGCTCTAAGGGCTATTATTATGGCTTGACTGAAAGAGATAGAGCATCATAATGCTAGCAACTAAAAATCCATATGTCATATTACATGGTTATTCTATTTTTTACCTTATTAACTCTATAATGTAAGCTATATTTAAATAAATTCTGTGATGTAAATCTTGTAATAATACAAAATCACAGGTGTGTGTACGATGATAGTACAGTATATAGAATAATAAATATATATGTGTATATGTATGAATTTATAACATAAATAACAAACGCGTTTATCCACTGAACTACTTTGTACAAATTTATTACGTTCTTGAACACTTTGTTTTTTACCCTTTTCTAATTTACTTCATTGAAGATGGCTCTCTGTGTTTGCAAATGCTTAAATGTAATTTTAGAATGTGATGAAATAGAGGAAATAACTGATATCGGGAAACTGGAATTATCTTTGACGGAACAAAGGGATATTTTTTTCAATGAGGTACAGTCGGTAAACATGATTTAGCCTTGACTTTATGATAGTCTTTTTCTTTTATTATAAATTAATAAATAGATTTAATGTTTATATATAATAAATTAAACAGATACTGGCCACTCTTATATTTTTAAAATTATTTTGGAACAAGGCGAAACATATATACATGCATAAATCTTAAGATTTGTAGATAATGTTTGCTTATTGTTTTGGTTCATTTTAAACCATGTTATGTAACATTTGCAATAAGTATTTAAATAGTGCCTAAATTGAATACATGTTGTATTTATTATAGTCATGTACTACTCACTGTCAATACTAAACATAGCAGCTAATAAAAAAAAACTTTGGTTTAATCATTTCTTAGCAGGCATTGTATCAGCAAGCAAATTAATGTTATTGTAAATACATAAACATGAATTAAACATCTTTTCTATGAATATAAAAAAGTTTTATAGTTGTTCATCTATTTATCTACTGATACTTTATCTCAAATGAAATAATTTCAGAAATTAGTGTCATGTCCTGCAAGCTCATTAAAAACGCATATAGTGCAGCCAGCTTTGATTGGACAATATATTGTTGGTCGTTACAGTATTCTATCATGCTTAGCATGTGGACATTCAACACATGCTATATTGAATGAGAAAAATATTGTGTTCATTAAAATGTCTCTTCAAGTGAGTATAAAATATTTTAATTAACTTACTCAGATTAAAAGTAACTGTATTTCAGTTGCTGAATACTTAAAAATTTATATACTTGCACCTCTTTTTTCTTTTAATATATTATTACAATATTTTATATTAGCAAAACTTTGATATGCAATTATCATAAATTATCAGTGTATATTATAACTATTTATCCTCTATGTATCAGGTAAAATCTAAATAAAAAGAAACTAAAAAAAAATATCTTAAAATGTCAATTATAAATAGACATCCATAATTATTTGCAATAAAGAAAAAAAAAAAGAAAATTTAACTTCTTATCCTTTATTTTCATAATAAATTTTCAATAAATTTTAACATTGAAGTTAATAATGTAAATATTTTGCTTCAGACTACTATGGAGCATATAAATAACATGAAAAAGTCTGAAAACTTCTCTCCAGTATTCAACCTGTTAGTGCCAGAAGTAACAAGTGATATTGATATGAAAGAAAATGTAGATACAAATAACCAGTTAGTTAGTGATAGAAATGGTTGTTCCCCATCTTTACAAGTAATTGGAACACTTAGGAAACAATTAAACCAGACCTTACAATCACGGTTAGAAGCTATAGAAGAAACTGTAAGGCAGTTTAAAGAACAAAAATATGCAGAATATGAAGCTTATAGAGCAAGAGCTCAAAGAGACCATAAAATTTTATCTAGGTAATCGTTTTTGTATTTTGTTTTTTATTTGTAAATGATGCCCAATAATTATAATTGTGACATAAAATGAAAATGAACTAATTTTAATATTATATATTATGTATGTTCAAATTGATAATGTCTTATTGCAGTGTTATAAGTAAAGCAAAAAGCAATATTGATAAAGATGTTTGGGCAAACAATGCTAGTATAGATAATGGACCACCATCTCCACTCCCACCACTACAGAGAAGAAGACTGTCTTCAATTAAAGATGCCAAGAAATTCAATCAAAATGTTAAGGTATGGTTTGAATACTATGCAATGTTACTACATAATAGATTTAATTTGTGTTAAACCTTCTCTTATCCCAGGATCATAACCCTCACATCATAGTGTTTACTTTGCCTTCACATTATGTAATTATGTATGTATGGAAAATGTAAATTGTATCAGTTACTTATTTAAACTATTACTAAGATAATCATTAATTTAATATGTCATAATAATTTACTATAATAATAGGGGACACTAATAAAAAAATCTAAAATATATGTAGATAGAACATTAAATTTACCGAAATATATTAAAATACATATACTCGTATGTAAATTTAATCAATTTATAAACTGTTGAAGTGCTCATTGTCTCTTCATAGTATTTTTCTACTCATTAGGTATATTTTTTTTTCATATGTCCACTTTTAGTCACAGATGTCTTCCTACATTAAGGTCTTCTTCTCATTCGTTTCAGCCTTGACAGACTGGTCGTGGTCATAATTGCCTGTTCTCATCAATCACCTGCTTATCAATTTGTCTCCACTCCTCTCTAGTATTTGCTTTTCTTGCACATTCATTCAGTGGGACATCTACTGCCGCTCTGACTTGGTCCGTCCACCTCATGGACGATATAACACGCACACGGATGCCCTCAAGCCTTCTTATCACCACTAAACATTCAGTATCCACATTGTTGCATCTGGACACATGACCAAAGTAAGTGAGGATTTGAGCCCGAACTGTAGATAAAGACGCTGTTCGATGCCCAGTTCTCTGAGAATTGAGATGCTAGTCCCGAATGCGGTCCAGAGTATACTCAGCGTTCTTCTCCAGCACCACATCTGGAATGGGTCTATCCATCTAGGTAGTACACCCCAACGATATTTTTTTCATTTCGTATCGACCAAACTTCGCGAAAACTTATAGATTGTAGATACTCGATTATATATTATTAGCTGCAGTTTATCCAGAGGCGTAGCGTGGACTAATATAGACGTGGGCGAAGTCGCATCAGAGAGGCCCCTTTTCTTTCGTTTCCAAGATCTACCCAATCGATCTATCCTACCAAAAGTGCTTTGACACGACATACCTACTTATGATAGTGAAAAAATATAAATACGCGGTTTTATTTTGTAACTTGCGTGGTTTCATTTTTTACAATACTTTTGTAAAAAAAAAATTATGCTCTTCAGCTTTTTGCTTTACTGACGCGGTTTGGCCATAACACTAGAAGGGCCAACGCCATCAATTTGACCACAACACCATTTTGATCGCTAGTAATTTTTTAACTTAAGTTTTACCATGACTTTTATTTGCTTCTTAATTCTCAAGTACAAATGTACAAGGCTTGCTTAATGCCATTAGTATTGACATTACGTTGAACTTTTCTTAAGTTTACTTACTTAGAACTGTTTATGTTAAGAAAAATAAAGAAATTATGTATGTATGGTTTATGCTAAAGACGCTTATTTATAGCTATTAATTCCTAACAAGTCTCGTATTCCGTCAATCTGACGGTCGCGGTATTTGAAGTTAGTACAACGGCCTCGCAGTCGCGCTTAAGAGGGACTTCTTGCGAGGCCCCAAACAAACACGCTTTTAATTTGTGATGTTCTTTTTCGATCGTAAAAGTGATCAAATTAATTACTCATTTGTGGTAAAGTCTGGGGGCCACGCATTTAAAGGGCCCTGGGCCCTTAAGTGCAAGGTCGTGGGCGAGGGCCCATTTCGCCCACGCCTAGCTACGCCGCTGAGTTTACCCACATATGACATCACGCGAAAAGCGACATTAAGGGACTGTTTTTGCGGCAGACATATAAACAAATAATATTGACACATAGTTATTGGTACATATAAAGATTTATTGACATAAAATAATATGGTTTTTAGGGATCCATGATAGTTAATTTAAAAAAAATGTCTGATCTGTTATATAATCATTGGGTATAACCTTGTAGTTATATTAATAACTAGCGACTCACCCTTGCTTCGCTCGGGTTCGTCCCTAGGTACGTTTTAATTTTTTTGAACGGAACCCTAATTTTTTTTTCTAAAATAAAAGTGGCCCATATTACTCCATATAACATCAGCTATCGTCCAGTTCAAGTCACATCAAAATCAGTCCAGCCGTTTCAGAAATTATCCGGAAAAACAGACATACAGACAAAATTAAAAAAAATGTGTTTCTTAAAAGTACCGTATATAATTTCATATGCATTTAGTAAGTACAACGCTGTTATTTTGACACTAGCAATGCCTGCAGCTCCGCCCGCGTTCAGATGAGCAAATTATTAGGTTATACATATTAATATACTCTTACAATGCAGTTTTTGTATTTTTTCTCTGAAATGAGATATTTTCTCGCGGTAAAAAGTATCCTATATGTTGGCCCGGATAACCAGCTATCATCATACCAAATTTCATAAAAATCTGTCTAGTGGTTTTCTCGTGATGCGGTAACAGACAGACAGACAAAAATTCTAAAAACTATATATTCGGCCTCTGTATCGATAATAATGTCTATTTCAATTAGATTTTCCAAAAAATATTTAATGTACAGATTCGACGTAGTTACAAATTTTATTATATGTATATATTACAAACAGGCACTTCAATTTTATTTATCTATATAGATTTTTTCTCTTTATTCAAACTTTCCGTGCACCTTATGGAACATACGAAAAAAAAAGTTGAATTGATCGAGCCGTTCTCGAGTTTTGCGCTTAGCAACATTAATTTTTATTTATATAGATACCATTATGGGAAATAATAAGTGAATAATATAAGCAAAGTAATTATGTATTGTTGTACATAAGCATTTGAGTATTGATTGTTTTATTAGTAAACGAACTGAACTTAACAATAACTTCATTCTAACATCATCATTAAAAATGTTTCCTTTATAAAATTAATACTTTTCTTGCTGTATGAAAAGATATACGTATTTATGAGAAAATCACTTGTTTTCAGTCGAGTGCTCAAATTCCACATGAGGAAGATTCATTAGAAGCTGAGGATATCTTTGATTTAGAGGGCATGGACTCGCGTCACTACATGGCCTCTGACCAGGATGATTATGACTCAGATGGTTAGTTAAACAGTCTTATATATATATATATATATATATATATATATATATATATATATATATATATATATATATATATAAATTAATATTTACTGAGGCATATTTTGACACACATTTAAATATCGAATATGTTTAGAAAAAAGACAGCATTTAATTTTTTTTTGTTTTCTCTATTAAGTAGGAGTCTTGTCAAACAAACAATTACTAGAAATACGATAACAAAAATAGTATGTGAGTGTTTAACAAAAAAGGTACCAACTGCAAATGAATTTGGCATACAAACATATTTACAGTTGTGTGCCAAAAGTGATTTAATAGTCAAATCTTGGTATTGTTTTTTAAATATTGGTATTGTTAAATAAATATAACTATTTGCACTTATCATAAATTAAAACTTACCACAAATATTTTTTTTCTCATTACAATACAGTTATTTGTTTTTTTTTACTAATTTCAAAAAAAGAAGGTACGTGATTTATGTGTGCGCGTGTGTGTATGGGTGTGTTTTCAAATATATCGTTTTTCTGCATATCTTGTGTATCCTTTTGTCCAGCAACATTCTTAATGTAAATAATTAAATATTAATGTTAAAACCTCCGTTATAAGGTAACCATCACATATATGTACATAAATATTAGGAATTTGGTTAAAAATCTTTTGTAGGTACTTTATTATGTTTTGATAGTATATCTTTTATACATCCGAAAATAAATATCATTAGAATATTTAATCTTATTTATAATGGAAACTTTTTATAATATAATTTTCTTAATTATATGATTTTTTACTTTATTACAGAAGGCAGTAACGATGAGGGTATCCACGTAGGGCGCAGCCGGGGCGTCCCCGTCGGCGACATAGCGCGATCCCTTCCAATAAACATGCCATTCCCCATAGAACGCCCTTCTACCAGGGAGATTGATGATTTTGTAAGCTTCTATCATTATTTAAAAAAAAATATAGTTTTTGAATTTCAAATTACTTATTTATTGATAATACTTATGCTCAAGCAATGTGCAGGGCATGCACAGAGATAATATAATAGTGATATCTTATTGTAAAATTGTCTTCATAAATTCAGCCCTTTTTAACATCCCATTCGCGCATGAAAATATCAGAGGTGCGAGACCCAGGATTCGAACCCGATTCTTCATAAGAAGTCTTTGTGTTTATTCCAAATTTCACTAAAATCCGCTGACCCAAAAATCCTTATAGTAAGAAGAAGAAAGGAACTTTTGACTTAAACAAAAAAAATCATATTTATAATGCTATTGCTATTTGCTTATTGTTAGGAGGAGCCTCAAGACATAGCAGCGAGTATCAAGGCGCTGGCGCGGTCAGTGCACGGCGATGTGTTCGAGCTGCCGCGCCCGCGCTTCTCCACGCAGATCTAGCGCCCTGCGGCCCATGTCTGTACCCTTCATTCATTACCTGTCTCATCGTCCTAAGGCCTTCTTAACTGATTTATATCAACTGCAATACTATTTATTTAACACAGTCTACTAATCCATACAGTCTTCTAACGAAGGCGTCTAGACAGCGCATCGTGCTGGGCGTGAGTGTGAGACGCGGGTGAGGTGCACCCGACTGTCTTACTCACTTTTATATCAACAGTCAGGAAAGGACAGACAGACAGTCGGGAAACGGTTATAGGGTTGACGAGTATAACTAAGATGCCAAGAGATGGCGCTACTGTGCTTTAACTTCAAAAATGTTCACCATAAAAAATTTTTTTAATAATCTTAAAGCATTTTGTTAGCGTTTCGGTCAAAATCAATGGACGATCGCCTACTGTATGGATGTTTATACTGTGATATAACCCTTTACAAATTTTCACAGATATAATGAGATATTACATCAGTGACATTAAAAAACAGTAGTAATGCTGACCTTAGCACGATTAGATTCCCTAAGAGTATCTGCTCATCGAAACATGTTCAATATAACGTGCTGTGCGCGCACTTTATGGTTCAATGTGCTCGAGTCGATATACTGCCCCCCACATTGGTGCTTTTGAAATGTGATCGGTGACCCTAATGCCGCTATGGACAGATGAACTATAATATGACTTGATGAACAGAACTATTATACATTATAAAATACAGTTAATCATTATGCATGTAAGGGCAGCTATACACATATTCGTCTTGCCGTTGGCCAACACACAAAACACTGATGAAGTAGATGAAAGCCTATTCAGTGGTATAGTTGGTATGTTGGTGAGTCGAATATGTGGGTAGCTGTAATAGGATCGATGTGCCATGAGCTGTGGACGGCGTGGTCGCAGAGATAAGGCGCAGTCTACACGAACAGTGACGACCATTACGTTTTATACAGGAGCTAGTCTCTATAGAGCGATGATTTGCAATAAGTTTACCCGGCAGCTAGTACGTTGTATAGTATATATAAATACATGATTTTCATACTAATTATGTACTGTCCAATATTATTATTGATATATAAAATATATGTCGTTCGTGTAGATTGCGCCTAATGTATAGATTTATATCTTCCTAGATATGTAGTGTTTATCGTACAACAAATTCAGATTAGGAGAAAACATAAATAAAAAGTGGTTGTAATAAATAAGCTTCCGGAAGGCGAATAACTAATGTAGTATGTAAGCAAGAGGCTATGAATGTTGTTAAAGACAGATTTTTTTTTATTGAATAAACCAAAAAATGTATTGCCAACGAGGGATGCCTCGTGAGAAAGAACTGATTTGTTTAAGTGCCGTTATTTGAAAAAATGTATTGACAATTGTCATAATATCGACGGGTGAAAGGTTATTTGGTTTAAGCGGCATTTTCTTAACTTTACAGGTGAATTTTTTTGAAAAAAAAAACCATTAAATTGGTTCTCCTGTAAAGTTAAGAAAATGTCGCTTAAACCAAATAGCCTTTCACCGGTCGATATAATATCTGTGTAGTTTGATATGACACTAATACAATTCATCATTGTAAGCCTACGAACTAACGTCTGAATATAATATTAGGGAAAGGATAACCTACATCGAACTAGCTACTGCGTACGGCTTTGTCTTGTGGATTTTCTATTATTTTACCACTATTAAGAATGATCACCACTGTATATGTTAACTAGCGACTCAACCGCGGTTCCCTCGGGCTCTGCCCTAGGTACGTTTTAAATTAAAATGGGTATAGTATGTTATGATTAAGAGATAGACATATGCCATCGCGGACTTTTCTGCAGTCCTATATAAGATACACAATTCCACCATACATTATTTGGTTATATCTCAAAGGGTTTAGGCAGCGTTTTCGTTATTTTTTTTCCGACACCTCCAACAAATATCGTTATATTTTAGCCAATGTATACAAAAACTTAACAAATTATATAATAAAACCTCGAAAATGTGAGGATTAGATTTAACGATGGACATTTGCGTTGCGGCTGAGTTCCAACCCTAAATTCGGAGTGGTTAAAAATAAAAATAGTATATTTTGTTGTGTTCTATTTATTAAAATAATATGATTACAGACTTAATAGAATTAAAATTAAACATTAATAAAGTACCGTAACTTCAACAACGCAAATCAAAAATAACAAAAAATGTAATAAAAAAAAAACAAAACTTCGCAATATTATTTTTTCGCGCTATCTGTTAGGATTGCATGAGAACTGTAACTCCTAAAAAAATTAGCCAAAAAATTAGAATCTTAAAGCTTCAAAATGCTCTTTTTAAAGTCTCAGTAGACTATTTTTAACCGAACTTTCGAACGTTTTCAACCAGAAAGTAGCGGGAAGTTTCAGGGCCTGCAGGGTCAACCATTTACTATTTTTTTAGTGTTTATCTGCCTACATTCGTAGTTAAAGCCAAGCCAACATTTATGTTCTTTACTATCGAAACCAGACAAATTTTCGTGCGTCCACGAATCACGTGGTCGACAAACTTGTGAACCCCCATTTTTCTTCACGCCAACGTAGACCCATGTCGAGTGTCCCGTTGCACAACTTTTATTATGAAAAAGTTCTAATATAAACTCTCTAAAGATGCAATGAGCGAATAAACGGACACAAAGAAATAACAATAATAATTTTATTGCATATACGGCATATCCAAATAAAATATTAAAAATTTTTAAACAATATTTAATTTGCAACTTGATACTATTACGATTTTATTATATTAGTAAATTATTATTTGTATATGATTTTTGCAGTATACATGCTGCAAAATTAAAAATTACTGAGAAGGGACCATCATTCTTTAGAAAATAGACAAATGGAAAACGATATACTTAATGCTTTATAAGCATAAGACGAAGAAAATACATACGAAGATATCATTTTAAAATCATAATAAAGATGCAATATATGTAGTGTTCAACATAAGTTAATATCATTTATATGAAATGGTAGTAATAATATTAATAATAATATACACTTTTCATGAATTTAAGTTCTAATATAATTTTTTTTTATAATTTTTTTTATTTTTAATAACATTTGATAAAGGTATTTGAAGATAAATTAATTTAGGTTATCCTTGCCCTGTTGTATGTACGTGTATGTGTATGTGTGCGTGTGTATAAATCATGTCTGTAACTTTGTTAAATTTATGTATGTGTATTAAAAATTAACATCTGTTAACATCTAAGTCATATCTCTGTTATAATATTCAGAGTTTTCTATTAATTTTTTACGTCGTGTTATCTTAATGATAAGTGAAAAGTGTACAAAAATATAATAACTTGCATTTCTTACTAGTCTTTTAGGGTCACGAAATAAATCATAGAAAATTGTTTAAATAACCGAATCATTTTTACCGTATAGATAGAACTTGTCGTCGGACATACTTAAGATTTGTAATAAGTTTATTTTTATATCAAATATTTTGAATGAGAACAGCGCAAGACAGGACAGGTTGGTAGTAGATTTTAGACGACGTGTTTATTTTTATTTTCGAGTTATGTAGATGTTGATAGCCGATGTAGCATTGGCTTCATTGGGCAGTTACAATATATATTTATATCAGTGTCTTCCAATAGCACTGTACTATATAATTTTCTCTAGTAATTTCTTTATTGTGATGTCAGTGTTTCAGTCAGTTGTTTTAGTATAATTATTATAAGTATTTGTTTGTTTGGTGTGACGCTACAGAGATGGATATCGATTGTAAAGAATAATTAGTGATCATGTAATAAAAGTGACGGAGAATTGAATTTGTCTTTCTTTTCAAACGAATTATAATGTAACATTTTATATATATATATATATATATATATATATATATATATATATATATATATATATAGAACCACTAAAGTATGTACATTTTCTTTGTAAGAGAATAATTTTTGATCGATTGAAAAGTTTTTTTTTTATTACAATTTAAATCAATACCTCGTGAAAATGGTACTTTAGGAATAAAAATCCTCTTATGATATCTTATATTATCTATTGGGTACACATGTACATGGGTAACGATTACACGTGTCATGTGTAATATAAAGATATAATGTTATTGAATTACATTGTACAATTTTTATTAATATCCAAAAAATTCTGTTAAATTAAAAAAAATCTTTTAGAAAGATTAAATAAAAAATGATTATTTGTGAAATCATTCAAAACGAAATCTATAAATAATCGTATAGGCAGCGGATTTCGCGGAAAATTATAAAATTTAAGAATACTTATTTAAGAATACTTAACTACCATATTAATATTTATATGGCTAACGCTGGGTAATAACTATTTATATATATGTAAAACGTAACGTACATAATATAAAAAATATTATAAAAAGAGGTCATAATATACTTATACGTTCATACATATAAATAGATAAATAAAACTGAAGTGTCTGTTTGTAATGTCCCTGGGTACGTTTTAATTTTTTTGAGCGATATCCTAATTTCTGTTCTAAAATAAAAGTAAGTTACTCCTTATAGCATCAGCTATCTGCCAGTGAACGTCCCGTAAAAATCAGTCCAGCCGTTTGGGAGATTAGCCGGAATAAACAGACAGACAAAAATAAAAAAAGAGTGTTTTTCTTATAAGTACCGTATATAAATTCATATACATTTAGTGAAAAGCTGTTAATTTGACATTACAAACAGACACTTCAATTTTATTTATCTGTATTGATGTATAAAGTAGGTACTCCACGATGTCTAGACGTGTTGCTAAGGTTACCGCGTCACAACAAAGAAAGCTGCAATATTTAACGCGGTATCACAATTGTGTGGAACACGTTGTAACAGAAGTTAACTAAATTTTGTGATTATAAAGAATAAATAAACATGATCGGAGGTAGATATTCTGCATCTAGACAGGGCTTAGAAAGACCTCCGCGTACAGCTGTAGTAATTGATGATGAAGATGAGTTATACAAAGGCTTTAATGATATTTCTCCTGCGTTGGATACGCGGGGTCTTCGCGAAGATGAAGCATTTCAACAAACTTTAAGGACTGCTGCATTTGGAAGACAAATGCCTAGTCGAATGGGTACTGGAGTAAGTAGCATCTACTATACTTTTAGTTTATAATTCTATTTTAAAATTAAAACTACGACTTGCGATCGAAGCGTTTATTGAATTATAATTGGCTTAAGGATTTTAAATTTGCAGTTAATAGATAAATTCTTATACATATAGTTTTGTAGTTGCAAAAACAAAAAGGTAATTTAGGTACAAATTAATAATTTTCGTATTATTTATTTTATTCCTTCTAGTGTTGAATATTTTTTTTTGCTTCTGAAGAATCTTAGACCTTAGTATTCGATATTACTTTTTCCTTGGTCTTTCCAAACGGATGGGGGTTTTAAAAAAAAACTTTTATGTCAATATTTTATAGATGTTTCGCCTGGGCACGGTTAGTGTGCGCGGCGGGGCCTCGCGTGCAGGGACCGCCGCGCGCCCCGTCACCGCTGTGCGCGCGGCTGGGTACACCTCTACCCGCGACACTCCTAGCCGCGAGGACAAGAAGGAGGAAAGGTTCTTACTTTTTACCTGTTTCTGATTATCCTGGACACTTCTTGTGATTCGCCGATTATTTTATCTGCTACCATTAAACATATTTATATAGGAGTTTGTAAATCTTACTCAATCGAATCAAATTAATGTTAGGATTATTTTAAATCCAGACCATTGTCTATACACTAAAAAGTGAATTGTCAAATCTTTCCTTATTGTATTTAACGGTTCTTGAGTAACGTACGATCTTACAAACAAACAAGGTTATTGACACTTTTTTTAACCGAATTCCAAAAAGGAGGAGGTTCTCAATTCTTCGGAAACTTTTTTTTATGTATGTTCACCGATTACAGGAAGACGCCTGAACCGATATGGATTTTTTTTTGTTTCAAAGGGTATACTTCCCAGGTGGTCCCATATTAATTTTATCGAAATCAGTCAGCGTTTTTTTTAAATCAACAAATATTTTTTTTAAATAAATTGCTTAATCGAACATTTATTAGTAAACTTTCTTCTAACAAATTATATGCTTATTACGTCTACACTAAAAATAAATACTTTACCCTCAATAAAAAGACGAAGTGAAGGGATGAGACGAATAATGGTAAACGAAATATTCTACTTTTTTGTAATAAATATTATTATTATAATGTAATTTTAGTATTGAAGACAAAATAAAACAAATGGAATTGAAAATAATGTCTTTAGTCGAAGAGTCAACAATGCTGAGCGCGCAACTGGAAAGCTCTGAAGAAGAGACGGATGGCAAGAGAGAACAAAATCTAAGTCAAGTAAGTACTTACATTTAAAAAAAACTCTAAATTTTATTTAATCAATTACGATTGTAGAATAATTTTATATTATACTATTACTGCGCGCGGCTCCGCTCGCATTCAGACAACCATAAACCAAATTCTTAGGTTTTACATATTACTATACTCACATTGCAGTTTTTGTATTTTTTCTCAGAAATGAGACCTTTTCCCGCTTAAAATGTATCCGTATATGTTGACCCGGATAACCAGCTATCACCATATCAAATTTCATCAAAATCCCTCCAGTGGTTTTTCTGTGATGCGGTAACAGACAGACAAAAATTCTTAAAATTCGGCGTCTGTATCGATTATAATGTGTATTTCAATAACATTTTATAAAAAATATTTAATGTACAGATTCGGCTTAGTTACAATTTTATTATATGTATAGATTAATCTTATATTCATTCCTCTAACCTTACTTCGCCAGGCATTAGCCAAAGCCCAAGAGGCGTCTACGTTGGAAAGACAGCTTATACGTATGCAAGAACAATCCAATTTAGGCGACTCTCATAACTTGGATCTTACATTTGCGGTAAGATATGAAATGAATATACATAGTTTAAATTAGTTTAAAATGTTATTCTATATTTTGTTTTATAAAACTTTTACAGGTCCTTTGCAATTTAGCTGATCAGTACGCGCTTAACGAAATGTATACAGAGGCACTCAACACATATCAACTCCTTACGAGGAATAAAGTTTTCCCACACGCCAATAGATTGAAGGTAACATATATTTATTAAAATGTAATTAATAAGACATTATAAAATTACATATAGTTACATATTAGTTTTACATATTAGTATACTCTTACATTGCAGTTTTTGTATTTTTTCTCAGAAATGAGATATTTTCCCGCGGTAAAAAGTATCCTATATGTTGACCCGGAAACCAGCTATCGCCATACCAAATTTCATCAAAATACCTCCAGTGGTTTTCCCGTGATGCGGTAACAAACAGACAGACAGACAAAAATTTAAAAAACTATAGATTCGGACGCTGTATCGATAATATTGTCTATTTCAATAAGATTTTCCAAAAAATATTTAATGTACAGATTCGGCTTAGTTACAATTTTATTATATGTAAAGATGTACATATATTTTTCTGTAGGTTAATATGGGTAATATATATTTCAAAATGGGTGAGCATCCAAAAGCGCTGAAACTTTATAGAATGGCGCTGGACCAAACGCCTACAGCAGAAAAAGATTTACGGTAATTAATATTTTTAATTAATGTGATTTAAGTTAAGGTATGCGTCGTATTAATTTAATTATATTTTTTTCATTTTAGCATGAAAGTGATGCATAACATTGGCTTATTATTAGTGCGCATGGGAAAATTCCGTGATGCAGTAACCAATTTTCAACACATAATGCATGAACAGGGAGACTTTCAAACAGGTTAAATTTTTCTTATCGTTCAATCTATCAGTTCTTCTGATTAAATATATTTTGTGATTTGTCGTTCACAATTGTAAAGATACTCCTATTTCTCTGATATCTGATATAACTGCCTCGGCGGTGTAGTGGCTAGCATGTACGGCTGCACACTCGGAGGTCCTGGTTTCGAGTCCCGCGTCGGGCCAAGTTTAGTTATTGAGTATTTCTGTATAGTAGGTCTCAGTAACAGCCCGGAGTTGGGAAGTTGGCGGTGTTTCACCCCCGTGCCTCGGAGAGCACGTAAAGCCTTAGTTCCTGCGCTTTAACTCTCACCGGTCGTGTCTCGTGTCGTCCCACCGGAGTATGAGAGTGACAGGAACAGAGAGTGCACGTTGTGTCTGCGCGTACACTTGTGCACTATAATATCTCCTGCGCAGTTGGCTAGTCTCAATGAGATTGGCTGCCGTGGCCGGAATCGGTCAGGAGAACATCATTTCTCTCATATACGAGTATGTAAAGATTGAAATTATAATTTTCTTTTTTTTTTAAGGTTTACATTTGGTACTATGTTCGGTGGCTTTAGAAGACGCTGAAGGTGGAAAAGCGGCTTTTCATGCAATGCTCGATGTTGAACCACCTACCTACCATCATGATATTGCTATTGACGATGTAAGTTTTTCTCCCCATTTCTATTAAGAAGGGATATGAAGCCTTTCAATAAATAAATTCTTAATACCATTATATATTTTTCGGGACTCGAACCCGCGACCGCTGGCGCAGCAAGTAGAGTAACTACAAAGTGAGCCAAGCGTGTCGTCGAATACTAATATTTCCAGGAAAACGACACATATGAGTGCGTCGTGCGCGACGTGGTGCGCGGGGACAGGCTGTCGCGCTGGTCGCGCGCCGCCGCCGCGCTGGCCGAGCGCTGCCTCGCGCTCGCCGCCGCCGCGCTCGCGCGCCCCGGCCGGCCGCCGCGGGACGACGACGGCAAGTATGTTCGGATAGTGTTTTTAAGATTAAGGTATTATTTTCGTTTAGGCTGAATTGAGTTTGGCATGGAGGACTAAAGTTTAAATTTAAAATATGTTTACGATTTTATTATAGCTATGATAACACAGTTAACCTATAAATTTGAAAAAAGATACATAGATTATTCTCCTTTAAGTTGAAATTTTTAATATTGGTGGGTGGGCCTCGCGCTACAAATGAACACAGCGAGATGTCGAGGGAAATGGGTTGATCTTATGTTACTTTGATAAGAATATATTTAAGATGAAGTTATTATTGAAATCAAATAACTTACTAAAATATATAACAATAAGAAGTACTCGTATATAGCGTATTGTTAATGACATATTTAACCAATTCTAAACCTACGTTACCTACCTATGTTAGTGTATAATTTCAGTTTTAGGCTTAATGAAGTGGAATTATATACTAAAAAATCACTTAAAATTAACCATTGAGGTATAACCTAATTTAGATAAAAAACAATCATGGAAGTCCATTATCAATTGTTAAAGATATTGCATAATATATACATAAAAAAGATCCAACCGAATTGAGTATCCTCGTTTATCAAAGGTCATGTAACTAAATATGTGAAAATGAATAAGGCATCTAAATATTATTTTTTTAAGTGGCGCTTCGTGGTGTGTAGAAGCCCTTCGTGGATATTCCGGCGGAGGTGCCGGGTCAAGGTTAGAACTAGGCAGTGCTTTAGCAGCATTAAGAAGTGCTGCTGGAGCGGGAAACAATGGCGGTGGAAACTCCTCGGGAGCTTTAGCAGCGGGAATGAAAGCCCTGCAGCGCTTAAAAGCGGTAGCGCGCGCACATCCAAACGATCGCGTGCTGCGTGCTGAAGCTAACACTGACGCAGCATTTGTTGCTTACGCGGTAATATATCTCATTGCAGATGCTTGGTAATATATTTTTGCAGTAATTTTTAAATTGAAAGGCTTTGTTGATAAAAAAATATACGTAAACAATTTTTTTTTAGGTAAATATTTTGTTCAGCTTTAAATATTTTATACACATATTATCCTCGTATATCATATATCGTACACATCATATACTCGTATATCATATATGTAAATCGAACTAATTGATTTTAAATGAATAAGTGTTTAAGTGAGTCTAACTTGCACCGGTATGGAACCTTCGGTGTGCGTGCGATAATTTTATTTGAAAACAGCTAGGAAAGTACTCTGAAGCGCGATCTCTGAGTGAGGCGGCGACCCGGGACGATCCATACAGCTGCCCGGCGCGAGTGTGCGGCGCGCTGGCCGAGCGGGCCGCGGCGCCCGCTCCCGCGCCCGCCCACAGCGTGGCCGCGCGCCTGGTGGCCGCCACCCACTTGGATCCCACTGACTTGATAGCGATGCACGATTCTGGTGAGATATGATAATACTTATTCCATATCTATACTAATATTATAAAGATTTGTTTGTTTATTTGTACCGAATAAGCTCCGAACCTACTGGACCGATTTAAATGAAATTTGGTAACAAGATAGTTTGAGACCCTGGGATGGCTATGGGACATAGGATAGTTTTTATTCCGGAAATAATCCCTTAAAGGAGTGAAAGTGGGGATGTAACTTTGTATGGGGAATCAATCAAAATATTCGCTTAATGTGAAATTGTCTTCGGGTGACACAATTTATAATATAAAGCTAACAAACCGGCCCGTCGGCAAACATTCAAATACATGCGAGAAGAACAATAATAGCATACGGTGATGGCAATTAATGCTGTTAAAACCGCAGGATAAAACGCAAAAAATACTCCTAGGTACAAAGCTATGAAATCTTACACTGAAGCATAATGTTAATGATACATTTATTTACAAATATAATATAAACACATGAAAGAAGCGTGATCGGATTGAACTTGTGACCTAATGATTAAGTCGTTTTAATCGCAACTGACATAACTACTAAACTAATTAGTAGGCCAATGGATGGGTTCCGCCTTACAAAAAGTGCAGGATAATTATTTTGGTCGACTTATATAGTTTTCTATTTAACTAAAATTGGAAATTTGCTGATCCTAACTCAGCTGTAACTCAAAGTATGGTATCTGAAGAAAATTTCATGTGACTTAGTTTGTGTAATATCCTCAGTTTTTAACCTGATAACTCTGAATCTGGAAAAAATGATTTGAGTACCATTTTCTAATATCGTGGTGTGAGCTACAATGTTCCAAAAACCAAACTTCCAGTCTCAATAAGTACACAAAATTATATAAACCTATTAAATTAGTTTTTTCTTTGATATTGTTTACCCTTTTCATCTTCATTTCTTGAACAATAACTTAATTTTTTTTTAAATCACAGTTAACCTTATATTATACTTGTACTATTACTTTATTACATACAAAGAAATTAGGGCTTTATTAACAACGCCATCTATTAACACGTATTTGAATTTTAAACTGTTTCTTTAATTGTATTGAATTCTTGATAAGCTCGTTTAAATTAAGCCCGAATTAAAACGTAAATAAATGAAACATTAAATATTAAAATTCCAACATCGACATTTTAAATGAAACTATATTCTCGTATTTTTTCTCGGTTTTATTTTCTAGCATTGGCATTAGAAGTAACAGGTGAGGAGGGCGGTGCGGAGGCGCGCTGGCAACGTATACGCAACTCGAGCGGTGCGGGCGCGACGCTGCGCGCGCTGGCCGCCGCCGGGCTGGCGCGCGCCGCCCGCGCCGGCCCCGCCCGGGCAGCCGCCGCCGCAGACCACTGGTGACGCGTCATTCAAATTAAAATATACTTTATTCATATACACGTAGGAGCACTTTTCAATCGTCAATTTTTACATTTTTTTAATTTAACTTAAGAGTTGCTTTTTTAAAATAATATTAGTAATTATTATATGACACTCTACTAATCCATATAGTCGTTTACCGATAGCGTTTAAACAGCAATAGTGTGAGACGCAAACGACTTTATACTTATTTGTATATGGCAGTTGGGAAATGGCGTAAGGTGATATATAACTGTAATTTGATAACAAGTTGGCCCTACAGTGCTCTAAGTTCGAAACCTTTCGCCATAAAAGTTTGTATTTTTTGACTTTCCTTGTATTTGACAGGATTTTATAAAAATAAAGTTTGGAAAAAAATTAGCCTTAAGTAAAAAAAAATTGGACTGACCTAAGTTCAGCGTTGTATCTTTTTAAATAAATATAAATTATAATATGTTTTTTTATCATTAAGTGTTCTCAACCTTTAATAGTATATGTGTAGCAAAAATATTTTTTATATAAAACAAAATAGAAAAGAATGAATGGATTTCTTACATGATTACCTTACGGTGAAGGAAAACATCGTGAGGAACCTACATGTCTGAGAGAATCTAACAAGTTTTCGAAAGACATGTGAAGTCTGCCAACCTGCACTTGGCCCGCTATGGAATGATCCCCCTCATTGAAGGGAGGCCCGTGCCCATCAGTGGGACGTTAAAAAAGGGCTGAATATATACAAAACTAAATATAGTTTATCTTAATTGACAAAAAATTGGCCTAATTTAAATATTATATGAATTAAATTGGAAAATGTCATTGGTGTCTGCTTCAGTTTATTAGAAAGACATTTGATTGAAATTTTGCTACTAAAAAGAATATGTAACAAAGTATATGTATAACTTTAGGTATAGTATCATCGGGAACTGGGACGCCGGCGTGACATGCGCCCTCGCGCAACTGCACAGCGACATGGGCGACGCGCAGACCGCTAAACACTACTACCAAGATGTAAATTATGCTTATTTTTTTACAATTACTGTCCAAAATAATATTGTTTATAATTATAATCATATTATAATATTCAGTTTTTATGTATATCATTATAAGCAAATAAAAAATTAAACGAGTGCATGTATGAATATGTACACGCGCAAGAAGTAAAACTTCTGTAGATTATCGGTTCTCTTTATGAAATTCAATTTATGTATTAAATAGGATAGATGAGATACTAAAAAAACGTGTGTGTGTACTTATGTACGCACGTAAGAACTTATACTTCTTTGGCGTAACAGAACGAAAATAGCTAAAGATTTTATCCTGTATGTCACAACTCTCTGTTAGTAAAAGAATGATAAATTTCAATACTAATAATTAAATATCGCATATTAGGCATATTACAATCATATATTTATAGAATATCATTTAATCCCTCCACGACCGTGGACACGCCGGCGTGTCAGTTAACAATAGATTTCTTAGAAATTTAATTAATTTCTTAGAAATTTACCTGGAGGTGTTAAAATATTATATTTGACTTGATATTGAAAATATTAATGATAGTAATAAATATGTTGGGACATTAAGACACAGCACCATCTAGTTCCATGGTAAGCCACGAGGCCTGTGTTATGGATACCAGATAGTTGATACACTACATATATATAATTTTAAAACATACATATTATAGATATAAAAATTAGGAAACTAGTCGATCATCAGTTAGATAGTTTTCTTCACGTTTGTTAACGTATGTGAGCAGGTGGAGGCGGCGTGGCCGTGCGAGGTGGGCGCGCTGCGCTGGCTGGCGCGCGACGCGGCGCCCGAGCTCGCGCTGCAGTACTACCGCCGCGCCGCGCGCCTGCAGCCTAACAATGTTGGTCGATATATCTATACTAATATTATAAAGAGGTAAAGCTTGTAAGGTTGTAGCGGGTAATCTCTGAATCTACTGAACTGATTTAGAGAGAAGAGATTTAGATGAAATTTGGTAAGAACATATTTTGAGATCCTGGGAAGAAAAAACGATACTTTTTATTCCTGAAATCATCCCTTAAGGGGGTGAAAGTTTGTATGGGGAAGCAACCTAGGGAACTAACCGAGTTAAGCGAGGGTGAGTCGCAAGTCTTCTATAAAATGAATTGTATAATTTTTGAGGCTCCGTACCCAAATCTTGGTCTGTCCGTATGTCACAGTCGAGTAAAATTCAAAGAATATTGTTGGAGCTACATTGATGAAATGTTATAGGTAGATAGATTCTTCATGTAAAGCAAAAAATAAAATATATAAAGGGGGTGGCATCCATACATAGAATTGAGAAATGAAAATTTTTTTTAACTTTATGACAGTTTGATGTTTTATAAGTGACTTTTATGTTCAAGCCTATAGTTGTAGAGGTATAATGTTAGTTGTGTTAGTAACGAATGTACTCCTATATCGTTCACCCAATAGTAATGAAACTTAAATAGTATAAATATTAAGTAATAACCAATATGTAATTTAAGTGTATGTGAGATTGGTCAGGTCATTATTTTTTTCTATATGAATTTTTATATTATTTAAGTGTCATTGATATTGGGTGGATGAAGATATTATAATACACAAGTATGCGCGCAGATTCAAATGCAATCTCTATTCCTGCTGCTCCCATAATCGGGTAAGAAGACAATTCGAAACCAACTTCCTAAGAGTTGAAACCCAAATGCCCAAATCCGAATTGTTACTGAGAATTTCTTAACAGAAAAACATAATAACTGAATTTGGCCCGACTCGAATTCTAGGACCACCAGATCTATAGCCATAATGCTAGCTACTAGATCACCGAGGATGCTAAAAACAAAAAATAACCGCATATCAATGTTACAGCCGGAGTGGGGTCTGTTGCTGGGCGGCTGCCTGCGCGCCAGCGGCCGCTACCAAGACGCGCTCGCGCTCTACAAGAAGCTCAATGCTCGCTTCCCAGATAATGTACAATGTGAGTGTCGTTGTATGCTTACAGCCGCATAAGTTAAATTTCAAATAAATAAAGAGACTTCTATGTCTTCTACTATTATATAAAAACTAATAACATACAATGATTCGTATCCTTCATCTTCTTTACTGTATTCTGTTTGATCCGTGTATTCTTCCTTATCTCAAGGAGCGTTGCTCATTCATCCTTGGGTGCACCCATTGTCGTCTTCCTCGCTGTGATATTATTATTACTTTTTTTTAAAGTTGGGAAATGCATTTACGCACGTGGTGTGGGACTCAATGGCAAAGCCAGTACTACCCACTAAAACCCAACATAACCTTCCCCCGTCTTAATGGGGCGTCGCAGGATCGCTTACGCATTCAACTCGTAGTTACTCGTAGTTCGCCCTGACGGCAGGTCTGCCGAAGCAGACCACCACAACCACGGGGTTGCTAAAAGGTCCACTCTGCTATCAGAGAAGTACCAGGAGCAACCCACATGGTACATCGCCCACCGAAGAGGGCCACCTCCCTGTGCGTTTCTTGGCTTCGCGCCCGGCTGTATTGCCGGGCACTACTGAGCCCCCCCACCACGACAAGGTGAACGCACGTTGGGGGGGAATAGCTAACCTAACCCTAAAAATCCCTTCTCACTCTTCTTCCTTTTACAGTAACTCCTTCAACATGACAGCTCCTGTCCTCAAACTGTTAGGCATGCGAAAACGTTAAGAAATTTTATAAAGCGTTTAAAGTACCACTTTCACACATTTCGAATATCATCTTTGTAGAATATATTATTGCTATCTTTGTAAACTTTAGTATAGTTCTAAATAAAACTTGCCTTTTATATTTAGTTATACGTATATGCATAACTAGCGAATCGTCCTCGCTTCGCTCAGGTTCGTCCCTAGGTGCATTTTAACGCTTAGTATGGAATAGGTTTTTTTCTAATTTCTTTTTTTTTTTGCTGAATTTTTCCGATGTTTTATTAGTTATTCTGCTATTTAGGGTGAAGACAAATTCAACAAAACAAAAATCATAAAAATCGGTCCAGCTGTTTTCGAGTCAGTGTTGTAACAAACCCTTGACTTTGTTTTATATAATAGTATTTGTTTATTGATTAAATATATTTTACTTATATTTATATGATGCGTATAAGTGTTAATATTATACTCTTTCTACCATCTCTTTATTTCCCCTTCTACATTATTACTATTTCCTACACCTAAAGGTTGCCTGGAAGAAATCTTTTAGCGATAAGGCTGCCTCTTGTACCTTCTATATTTTGTATATATTTTTTTTTCTTTTTGTGTATAGATTAAAGAGTTACTAGTATAATTATTATTATGACGAATATCAAAATCATTTTAAAACCAATAATTCCACCCACAGATGATTTTTTTTATATGGTTCACTATAGCGTGACATAGATACAAAATAATATTCAATTGAATTGTGTACCTCCTCCTATTTTGAATTCGTTTTCTTTAGTGCCTTATTACATTTTCGCAGTAATCGGTATATAAATAGGAATAATATAATGATATTTTCTTTATTTTACCATAACAACAAATGACAGTCTCTTATCCGTATTATTAATATATTTAATATACAATATTATAAATATGAAAGTTTGTAAGTATGTGTGGATGTTTGTTATTCTTTCACGCCAGAACGGCTGAACGGATCTGGATGAATTTTGGCACAGAGATAGATTGTAGTCTGAAATAACACATAGGCTTATTTTTTATTATCCCGGAAAAATATACGGCTCCCGAGGAATAGATTTGTAATTGTTTTTCTAGAAGCGAACTCGAGCAAAGCGAGCGTGAGCCGCTAGTACATTAATATTTCGCACTACACTTATGGACTCGTAAAAGATCTTTCGTCATAAGTTTATTTGTATAAATGCGATATCTTTATGCACACTCTGCATATTCTATCGTTTCTATAGTAAAATTGAACCGGATAAAAGAGCCATGCCGGGTTATAGGTCCTATCATGATATTCAGATAAAACCTGTTTATATAGGTTACTTTATATATTATATTTCATTTTCTATAATATTTTTAAATATAGGGTATTTTATTCTAAAGCATTTAAATTTCATGTTTATATTATCATATCATAGGTCTCAAACTAATAGTCAAGCTGTGTGGTGACCAAGGGCTATCGGAGACTAGCGCGTGGAGTCGGGAGTTGCAACGTGCTCAGGCACGACGCAAGCAGCTGGAGAGAGGTGAGTAAGCAATGTCAAGGTGCTGTGCCCTGGTTGGGGCCCAAGATCAGGAGAACCCTCAGTTGCCTTGTCAAAATATAATTTAAATGGACTTTCGGTGTGTTTATGAGTGTATGTAATAATAATAATGTCATCCTGATCGATTTCGCCGGATCGACGGTTTTGTGTGCTCCCCGAGACACGAGGGTGAAATACCGTTAACTTTCCAACTCCGAACTGTTATTGAGAATTTCTCTACAGAAAAACTCAATATCTAAACTTGGCCCGACCCGGGACTTAAATCCGGGACCTTTGGATTTGCAGTCGTACATGCTAGCCACTACATTATCATTGCAAATAAGATGTAAATAATGGAACTAGTTTTATTTTTTTACTACAATTTTGTGCTCTTGCTGACTTAGCTGAAGCCAGTGAATGATACATTAATTAACTTACACTCTGTCATTCATTTGCCTACCCCTTACTCGATTCTCTATAACTTATGCGGGTAGAAAATATTGCTCCACATTTTCACGTATTATGGTAATGCGTGTACTGACGGTTGTATATGTCAACGTGGCCACTTTGAAAACTTATTATAAATTTTAAAAATATTAAATTATTTTAACATTATGATCTCGTTCTTACTTAAAACTTTTTTTATCCAACCAACAAGATAGGTTTCCAGCATTTTCTAATAATTAATTAGTCTTAAGAATGATAGATTTTATTTTAATCAATTGGCTAAACCTTGCTGTCTTTGAAGACCGATTTTAGCCAAATTTCCCCTATTAAGTACAGCTTTTCTTTTCTTATTATGAAAGCTGAAAGTCTGCCGCATTTTTAAAAATAACTAAGAAATCATAAGGTCACCTGTTTAGATTTTTAATTTAGAGTTGAAAATTTAAGTCCTAATTCACGGAACGTAAAAATTTGACTTTAGACCAACATTTTCATAACTTTCATCAAAGCTACGAAGCTAATTATTTTATGCATAAAAGTACGAAATTACTCAAAAAATCTAAAAAAATTCATAACTCCTAAACTATAAAAAATCGCGTAACATACATGGGGTATGTGTCGGATACGATCTTCAATACGGTCGCTAAACGAAGCGCGACACAACACCCGAGTAATGGCAGCACCGTCGGCAACATCGTCGACACTCGGCGAACTTCGTGCTAGTCTAGAATGAAGGCGTGCTATAATGAGGGCAGCCGGCAGTTTACTCGCCCAATGCCTTCGAGCCGAGCCGAGATTCAGACCTCTCCACTAGGAACTGTCCAACGTTTTGTTTAGGATAATTATTGTAAAAATTATTAAAAGTGGTTTTTGCATATGCTGTATTCACTTTGTTCGAATTACTCTACTATTTGCCCACAAGATAGCCGAATATAGTACTTACTAATGACGCTACCCATTCGAGTTATGTATATTGAATAAGACTGATGATTTAAATCCCACCTGATTAATTATAAAGAAAACATAATAAATATAGTAGCAAATTTTCCAAATTCAGCAATAAAATGAAGTATGAATTAATGAATTACAAAGAAATAATAGACTTAGCTACTTATCTTTTAATCCAATCAAATAAACTCTGAAATCAACATTTACGTATAAAGGCTTACGTATAATTTTCTAAGGTAATTTTAAACATTCTGAAATTTAATATAAGAATAATATTGTTGTCAAACTTGTGAAAATTGACATCAAAAACTTCTTTTTTGAATTTTTTTATTACAAGTTAAAAGTTTGTAGTAGTGTAGAGCATAAAATTCTACTTAGAAGTATTTTCCAGATTTTTTTGATAATTTTAATAATATTTGATAAGTTTGATGATTGTACAAATAATTATAACGTTAAGCTAGAGCGCAGAATTTTTGATTCAATATAGTTTTAAGTTACTTTAAAGTATAAATTAGGTGTCAACCTTCGGCAAGGGTTCGGATAGCAGACTGTTATTTTTATTTTTTGAAATGCATCATGAACGGCAAAAAATAAGGGAAAACATTTAAAATTAATGTTGTACTCATTGTAGAGCATAACATTTTGCATAAAAAGGAACGAAAAATGGGATTTAAATGTATGTTCAAAATAACTCAAAAACTGCGGATGTTAAAAAGTATTTAAAAAAAAAGTTGTAGAGAATGAAATTTTACGTAAAAAACGTATATAAACAGTTGAATCCCATAAGGGTCTGAAGAGTTAAATTAACAATTTAATTTTTAAGTTAAATAGAGTTACATAATTATGTTCTAAATAAAAGTTTTAGAGCAAAAGATTTTACATAAATAAGATTAAGCAACTATTTTAGAAATTAGAAAATCAAAAAAGTTAGATTTCAGAGCTTATTTGATTGGACTACAAGAGAAAGCTTTGTAAGTCTTAAGTTATAAATTATATATATATATATATATATATATATATATATATATATATATAATCTAGAGTACACAATTTGTTGAGTATAAACAAAAATCATCATTATCCTTGTAATAGAAAGTCACAATGTCAATGGTCAATGATCATTGACCATCATATATGTGCAAACTGAAATATTTCTCTGTTAATTTTTATTGTGCCAATTGAATTAAATATCTTTACAGCACTTTGAAAACATTGTGATTGTACTAAGACCGTTTTATAGTGTGTATTTTTTTATCATCATATTTAAACAAGACTTTATTCTAAGCTTCGAAGTATAATTAAATATATATGTATATTCTGAATCTGACACTGAATGTAGAATAACAAACGAAACGTCATTAAATATTTACACATTTGCCATTTTAGATAGCGTATATACGTGCATATCTATCTAGCTGTGTACGTATATTTACATGATGGCGAATCATATCAAGAGTGTTATAACTTGTTTTGTTAACCAAACCCCCAGTTGTTTTTGTATAAATGGTACAATGGCATCAAAAGTGAGAACGCTATCTCCAACTTTGAACCCAGATAAGGCTGATTTATGTTACAGTGACGTAAATGCTCGCAAAATTAGCGTTTCGTTCGTTCAATATTGCGTAAAGATATTAATTTTTATTTCAAAAACAATCTTTATCTGTATTTCTAAATTTATATAGTAATACAGAAGTGTTTGTACGTTTGAAAGCCCTAATACCAGATAATGTAAAACCAGTACGATTTGAAAAAATAATTATTGTATTAGATAGCCTCTGGAAAGCTTTCCAGATTTAAAGATTTAGTTGAGAAAATCGCCCTGGCTTCGTGAAAAGTGACATACATATGCACAGATGTTGTATCTGTTCTATGCGGAATAATAAATCTAGCACGCCAACTATATGTCAGAATTCTTCATGGACATTCACCAAAATTTCATCAAAATTGGGGGAATAATTTTAGATTGCAAAGGTACCTTATAAATAATTACTTTATATGGTGTGATTAGTTACTGCACTCATATTTCATTGAACTGTAATATAGAAATGATGTAAAACCTTTTACTTTGCAAAATGACACTGAGATTGCGGGGTTGATTCCAACAACGTACAAATGTGTGTATTTGTCATGTTAAGAACTGATACCTAGCACTCAACATTATAGAGCATAATCCCAGGGCCGTCAAACGTCACGTATTTTCTGACGAACGAAATGTGGACGATTGGGTAGTGGTTAGTACATACTAAGATCACATGGCCTACCTGCTAACTTGGTTAGACGGCCAATTTCCAGGTATCAGGTAATCAAGGTACCTCAAAAGATTACTTACCTCACGTACATTCTCCAAGCTGATTTCCACGTATATTTTGGACAATATCGTTAAAAATAAGTCGTCAATACTCCCAGACACTTTCCGTCGGCCGTATTGCTTTGCAGACGCTTGAAAGGTCCCCAAAATAATTACTTAAGTTCACGTAAATTCTAATGCTCCATTTTTATATATGTTCGCCAGATAACTATTTTAATCTTTTACAAGAAGACAGACTAATCCAAGGGGTCAATCACCCCCTAAACCCAATTTTCCTACCCACAGAGGCATTAAAATAAAGAAAGTCTTGGCTGGATTGCCGGACACTAATGAGTCCCCCCACCACAACAAGATGAATGCATGTTGGGGGGAGGAGTACTCGTACCTATGGAATATAGAGTCAACAAGATATCTTGAACTATCCAGCTCTAGGCCGCATTATCTAGAAGCTCATATATTGATAATATTTTTTTACCGTTTTACCTAATATAACATTATACGTAATAGTAAATATTCTAAACCGTATTAGGTATTTTCCTTCAGATGGTAGAGTAATACTATTTGCATAAGAATATATTTCATTTAATGAGGTTATCAAAACAAATTGTCATGTTATTTTTATATTAAATTATAGATAATATATATTTTTGGAATTTTTGTATATTTAAAAATAACGACATTAATTATATTAACTTAACTGACGTAGTTTTTTGATATTTTGTTAAATTTAACCTTATATCATCATCATGAATATTATTTCCTAGTGAGCGTCACGTCGGCGGGCAGTGGTTCTTCAGGAGCTAGTCCCTCACCAATACAGAATACTATACGAGGTATTTATTGTAATCCAAACTGTTTTTGTTACTATATCTTTCGTAATAATAATAATATTAAATATTTAGTATAAATGTATAGAATGCACTGCACGACGGCATGCTTAAAGCTGGCTGATGTTAATGATATAAAGAAAATAACTAGGTATATAAATAAAATATTGCTTTAGATATGGTTGGAAACTACATAAAAAAAGTTGCTATACTGTATACATCAATAGAATTAGGTGCGAGTGCACAGAACTACGTCATCGCTAAAACGTCCAGAGATGATAATAATCGGCACTTACAGCTATTTATTAGGCGATGTTAATATTATATCTCACTAGTGGCTCTTGAAAAACAAAAACAAATCAATTCCACGGGAACCGTACATTTTCCGGGATAATAAGTAGCCTATGTGCTATCCAGACTATAATTTATCTCTGTGCCAAATTTCATCCAGATCCGTTCAGCCGTTCTGGCTTGATTGAGTGACAGAGATCCATCCAAACATCTAAACTTTCACATTTATGATATTAGTAAGATTTAAATAATTAGTTTACTACTTGCCTTTATAATGAAAGTCAGCTAGCTCCACACAAACATGACAAGCTCTTAATTGTAACACGACTGATATAGGTCAACATTGCACTGGTCATTACCAGAATCGATAGAAAATACTGCACTGACTTCAGATAAAGTAATCTTGTTACTGCCGGATTTTTTTTAAATATTATCTTTTTTTTTATTTGGTAGCAACGAGCACTCTTAGTAATATTATAAATTAGTGTTCTAGAAAATATATCCCTCTCAGCTAGGAAGAGGCATAGATTAATTTTAATCTAAAAGTATAAAATAATAGCAAGTTGTCGAAAGGTAAGTCATGGTGTTGAAAATCACTTAGGGACGCTAGTATATTCATACAGAATGATTAAACTGATATGTAACTTAATAAAATATTTTTAACTGATTATATATGCGTCAATTGTAATATGTACACATGTACACATTTACTCATATGGCACAGTGCCCAGTAATCGACTGGCTTTTGCTAAATGCTTCTTCAAAAGAAAAAAATTGGCCATTATTTATTAGCCGGAATATTGCATCGAGGGCTGCGTACTATCACAAAATATATTCATATTATGGATTAAGTAATAAATAAAATACAACCTTATATTCAATCTTTAATGATAAGTATATCCACAACGAGAGTCCTACCATCACTTTTGTAAACCGCCGGATTTTAGATATTTGTTGTTTTAGTTTAGAAAGAGTACTGCATCTCGATGTTTTAAAGTTTTTACTATATAAAATAGTCTCCTTACCACTCCTTTGGATATGCAATTTTATAACAGAATTTAATAAAACAAGAATATCTTAAATTTGCTATATTAAATGTTTGTTGTTATCATTCGCTCTACATAAGTTTAGTAGAATATTCTGCACGCACGCTGGTTACCGACTGCGATATGTGGTTATTAAAATCTGGCAAACAGACGTAAGATAAAGGAAACTGGATTTTTCTGGCCCACTCATAAATATTTGTAACACGTAAGTGATAAAGATAGCAATAGGTCATATTCTGTATCGACTGACATGTTGATTTATTGCTGCAAATTGATGCAAACAACATCTTTCCTTGAAAATTGAAAAATAAAAAATCACCTACTTTACTGTTTTTTTTTATATATTTAATGCTTTTTTTCTTATTATAAAGCGCGCGTGAATTTTAAAATTTTGATATTGTGTTATATTATTTTAAATTTCAAATAATTTTTTTTCAGGTATTTCCGCCAACGACGGTACACACCACACTCACATGTAAGTCGCAACGCGTTTTACGTTTTATATTTTTCCGACCTTCACCCATGCTGTATATATTATCCATATTATGTTTAATTAATAAACTAATAGTTAAAAATTAAATACTTATAAAGATTATAATATACTAGCATTGCCCGCGGCTCCGCCCGCGTTCAGATGGCCAAAAACCAAATTGTTAGGTTTTACACATTAGTATACTCTTACATTGCAGTTTTTGTATTTTTTTTTTGCAAAATAAGATATTTTGCCGCGGAAAAAAGTATCCTATATGTTGAGCCGGATAACCAGCTATCACCATACCAAATTTTATCAAAATCCCACCAGTGGTTTTTCTTTGATGCGGTAACAGACAGACAGACAGATAAAAATTCGAAAAACTATAGATTCGGCCTCTGTATCGATAATAATGTTTATTTCAATAAGATTTTCCAAAAAATATTTAATGTACAGATTCAGCTTAGTTACAATTTTATTATATGTATAGATTTCTAGGATGTTTGTAATGCTATAAAAATGATATACAAAATTCGTAAATTTTTTATATATCGAACTGGTTAGATGCATACCATTCACTCGAGGTTAACTGGACGGATTTCACTGTGAGTTTTACCTCGTGCACATATGAGGCCGAAAAAATATATAGCCAATTTTCATTTCAATCAATTGAATATACCCAAGTTTAGGCTTCTTACGCGCCCCCATACTTAAAGCGGGATTATGTGTAGTGCTACTATCCATAACCCTATACAGTAACAGGTATACATAGCATAGATACACAATAACAGGTAAAGTCATAGACAATAACTAGTGCATAATATAAAAACAACATATCTATTATTTATTGCCTTGTTATCAATTGCATAATATTTACATATGTATGATAATTTGAAGTTACTTTCCGTTCCTAATTTACAGAATATAATATGTACGTTTTAGAATTACTTATTACACGTTTATTTTTTGTTTTTCGAATGATGCATGAATTAGGGATAATTAGTGAACCAGACATTTTATTCGCGAACGAAAATGAAGTACTTATTTAAAAGTTAAATGTTGTGTTTACTTCATTTACGAATTAAAATATAATATCTTATGTTTAGAGCTCCGCACTCCAAGACTCAGAATAGGGGACTCTCTTACACCTTCGCTGTCACTCCGATTGCTACAATTTCGAAAAAAGATTTATGTAAAACTGATCATAAATATTTTTTTTTGGATTGTATTATAACGTGTTTTCCCGTGGGAAAGAGATAATCTCCCGCGGTAAAAAGTAGCATATATCACTCTCCAGCCCTGCAACTATCTCGGCACAAAAATCACGCCAATCCACCAAGCCGTTTCGACGTGAAAGAAACACAAACAAACAAACAAACAAACAAACAAACAAACAAACAAACAAACAAACAAACACACTATCGCGAAATAATCCGAAAAGATAGTTTCATTTAAAATGTCAAATATTCGCGTAAATCTAAGAAAGTATTATATGAAACACACTTTCACATTTATAATATTAGTATGGATAGGTACAAATTTATCAAAAGGTCAATCATAACTTTACATAATGTAGGGATTATTATTTTTCATTTCGAACTTTAACAATAACGTGTGATAAAACAATATTTTTGTTTCACTTATAAACTCGAACGGTAACCTGAACGTTCTACCACCCAATATAATCAGGAATTATGTCACAAGAGTGATATAATTTTGATAAACACGTTAACTAATAACTAATCTATTATTATACACCTATATGTGAATTTGTTTATAAATAAATCGCTATTAGTTATTACCATCGAATGTGTAAAATGAGGATAGCTTTGACGTATAATTTGATAATAATTTAAATTTTATCTTTCATTTGTATTTGTCACACCATGAACCCGATGGTACAAGGTGTGCCTATATGCGATAATACCTATGCTTTTTCATCAGCCAGATGAACAAAGAAAACGAACATATGGTTCCTCAATCTATAATCTGTTCTCAGCTTTCTGCCTGTCTGGGTAATTAATAGATGTATTGATGATGTAGTCTGTCTTACGCACATGCACCCATACCAACGTTACAGCCCCTTGCGTTCCCTAACCAGATCAAGACAAATATTTTTTGTCTGGTACAAACATCCACTAAACTTTTTTTTTTGGGACATTAACACACATCACCATCTAGTTCCATGGTAAGCTACGAGGCTTGTGTTATGGATACCAGATAGTTGATACACTACACATATATAACTTTAAATACATGCATATTATAAATATAACTAACTAATCACAGAATTAAGTCAATTAATACGAAATGTATTAATTTTATTTATTACTAGATAGATTTAAATAACATCTACTTAGGGGGAAGGAACCTAAAGTGACACCGCACCGGAGAAATTAACCGTAACAAAAAACTAAGTAATGTACCTACTCTATGCAGTAAATACCTTAATAAGAATATACAGCAATTTTATCAATCAGACTTGTAAAAATCACACTTTAAAAATTTTGGATGATTTCGAAAACTCTCAATTTTAACAGTTTCGCTTGAAAAGGTAAAACGGAGTACAGAAATTAGAGTTAAATGGTTCCATCACAAAACATAAAATGTATTACAGAGAGCATCTTTCAAAAATAAATCCAAGAAAAGATGTGAGCAATAAGTCAATAACAATTCAGTGGCAGCGTTGTCGAAAGATATATGGCCGATTTCTTTAACGTCACCTAAATTTGAGGGATCCCCTAAGCATGGTTAGGGGGCTGTTTTAGGGGACCGTTTCTGTTTCACCGACAGTTAGGGGTCACCTAAATGTTAAAATGCCACCTAAATATAGGTACTAGAAATACGGGCTCTGACGATGGTAAAACGAAATTTAATTTAGGGGCTAGTTCAGGGGAATTTTTAAGCTAGGGATCCCATACGTAGGTGGTAGCATATGGGATTTTGGTGAAATCGGGCAATAGTGTTCTTATTTCTGTTTAATTGCATTTTTATTACTTTCCATTTGCTTGCATTTTCTTTTGTTTCATAATTTAGATTTTCTTCCACTTTCTTTACTTGACACTATTTCTATGCGATATAGTGAAAAAATAGTCACGGCTGTTTTCTCTTGTTTTCAACTCTTCTTAAGTATTAGAACTTTTAGTAACAGACATTATAATTTTAGGGCTAACAAGGAAACGAATGCTAACCGTTTGTTTCTAAAGTGTTGATCGCGAAATATTTTTTGGTTTTACAACATGACCGATGTTAATTTTCGCAGTAGTTTTCGCAGTCTAATTGCATATTATTCTGAAATACTGGAGCTGCGTTATTATTTGTTGTTACTTCCGACACATAAGAATTAAATTTTTTCGATTCATTATTTCTAAAAGAGTTGACTAAGCTTTTGCGTAATATGATATGGTCTTATATTGAGGTGATACATATTTGCTACTATTGATGAGGAAGTGGAAATATCCCTTGACGCACTATGGTATGGTATGGTATGTTCGGGCTGTTTTCCGCAACTCGACGACTATGCGCCTATTTTGCGTGTGAATTGACGCACTACACTTGGATGAATGACACCCGTGATGATGGTCTCCTGGAAAGTTGATAGACATGATTGAATTGTAAACTTGGAAATAGACTGTTGTGATTCTTCAATAACAAATAATCAATATTTTATTGTGCGTGAAAATCTCAATATCATTTGTAGTTGCTGTTAAGGAGTCAGCTTCTATAAAAACCTATCGATTTATATCTGAAAGCTATTGTCGAGGTGTATTTTATGTTTTGGAAATAAGTTCTCTAATTTAAAATTGAAATTTATTTATTTTCATTTAGTCGCTCGCAGCTTCTGTAGGTATAATACTCACTTCGGAAATCCAATATCAAATTAAAGTCGATGATAATAAATAAATGAATAGGATATCATATAATGTGACTATCATGTCAAAGTAAAAACAATAACAGGTACGTAGAAGGCTCTAAATATTTTTTTTAAACCATGTGGTAAATCATTTTTATTAATTTCTTTTATATTCATCCACTTTTTTGAACGTGGTCCAAGCTCGTCGCGAAGCGTTGGTTATCAATTCTGGCTTCACTATTTTTCTTAGGAAAATAAATAATGATGATGACGATCGTATTATCAGTGCCAAAGTAAAATAAAACCTATCTATCGACGTTTCAGCAGATGTCATTAACCCCACTTGCTGGCCTTTACTATCAACAATACGTGGCAATCTTTTTGTTAACGTAGTTTTGCCGTTTTATACTAGCTGCAAGTCTTGCTACGTGTATGTATGTCTCCGACTGCATATTACTATGTTTCTACGTCAACTAATTTTCATCTTTTTAGTTCGCTTTTTTCGCAGTCGGATTTTTATTTTTGTAAATATATTTTTTATTTACAACTTTTTACTTTTGGTCAATTAGACATAGTGGATTCGGACAATTTTTTTTTTCAAGAAACACAAATTGGCCCGTCAGATCTCCGTTTTGACTTCTAATGATATCTATGGAGAGGTATTAATGTCAATATTTGTGTATATTATTAACAATAAAAATTAGACTAACGCTGGCTAATAACTATTTTTATCTATTTAAAACGTACCTAGCGACAAACCCGAGCGAAGCGAGGGTGAGCCGCTAGTATGAAATACAAATCTTAAAATTTCTCGGCTTTTCTGTACTATAATATGCATGTATTATACATATAAACCTTCCTCATGAATCACTCTATCTATTTATGAAAACTGCATTAAAATGCGTTGAGTAGTTTAAAAGATCTAAGCGAATAGACTGCGGAAGCGACTTTATTTTAAACTATGTAAAGATGTCATATTTTCTTAGTGTGTTGTTGGATTTACCAATGTGTAATACTTGACTTTCTGCCTGAGATTCAAATCTCTATCTTCTATTATAAATTATCTTAAATCTTTTTAAAAGCTTCTGATTACATTTTAAAAAACATTTACATTTCACAAAAAATACAATATAAAATTAGTACGAGTATAATCAAAGTATGACTCAACATTTTTGGCTGTACCTAACGTGCTGAACTTATCTAATAAAAAGATACTAAATAGTAAATATTTACAATTTTTTCCGTTTGAAAAGTTTTTATATATTTTTGTCCGAGACAAGCTATAATTACGTTTCACAGAGGTAGTTATCAAATAAAGTTAATTACGTGTTGTCAGCGCTTTAATGTAATTGCGCAATGCAATCATACCCCAGACTTTCCGCGCGGGCCCGACGCGCCGACGTCAACCGTGAACCGGGTCGCGTCTAATTAATATTGAACAATTTTCCTAACTTATCAATTCCGATTCATTTTGTATTCATGTGTAAAGTAAATAAAGAAATACGTACTTACGAGTATATTCGATTAGTAAATATACTTATACCACAACAGATTTAATTCCCTCCACGACCGCGGACACGCCGGCGTTACAGTTAACAATAGATTTCATAGAAATTTACCTGGATGTGTTATTATTGAAATCTATTTGCACACATGTTATAAGTATTAATTTTGCTGCTCAGTTGAAGCTTTAATGCCCAAATATCAACATCCGGTTAGAGAATGTATGAAGTCTAATTTTAGAATATTGTATGTGAAGATGATATAATAAAAGAAATTATTGATTATTTTTAAGGGTCTACTTAAATATACTTTAAATGATAAACAAGTATGGTTTTTCCATGTTTATTTAATTATTCGATGTAAACATTAATATACATATCATCTGCTCAGTGCGGTCTTTTATCTTGGATAAATAAATATTCATTAATATTTAAAGATTGATAACGTTCACAGAGATCCAAATGAACCGCCCACGTTTGATGACATGCAGCCGCTGAGACGTTCTATCAGCGGGATGGAACCTAAGAAGAAGATTGTAGAAGATTTCGAGGATGACCTGCCACTGCCTCCAGAGTGAGATTTCACATCACTTACTATCACTTCTCATATTTGTTATAGTTGATCGATATACATTAAACAAGTAAAACAAAATAATATAGTGGTACAGAGTAGGGCAAAATAGTAAGAAGAAATGTTTCTTAGAACAAACGGCAGTAAATACATAAAAGGCAATGGATAAATAATTGTTACTAATAATAAAACAGCCAAATGTCCGATTACAAATTTATATTTTTATCCAATAAGTACTTAAACATTTTATAGTTTTCCTATTATTATATACATAAATAAATGATTAAATGTATTACACGTATTTTTACTAAATCATTTTCATTAACTCTCACGTACAGTGTGTACTCACATTGTTGTTTACTCATATTGTTATAAATACGATAGTTAGGTGGTTTATACTTTAACACAGAATTATTCTTAAGGCGAAAAGTGAAACGTTTTGAAATAAAATATTATAGCAGCTCACTTTATCGTAAAACCAAAGCATAAAAAGCAAAATATGAGAATACTCGAAAGGACAGTTAAATAAAAATACGGAAACAGTTAAAACTTATATTTATATTCAGAAAGTAACATTCAATACAACGTACAGATTCTTAAATTATAAGTCGAAAAATAACTGAAATTTCAAAAACTATGGGCTCGTGCTTTGTGATATGTGCTTGACATCATAATACTTATAGAGCTCTTACTAAAATATTATGATCATTCCCATCATCAATCATAATCATCTTCAATCTATTAAAAGTCTAAAAATTTATTATATTAATTTCACATATTTCTCACGTAACTATTCATATTCAAAACGTATATGATAGAAAGAAGAAAATATACAAAAGTAGTGAAAAGTTACTACACTCCCTCGGGCTATAATTTGGTCTATCTCCACAGATATACAGTTAAAAATTATTTACATTTCAAGTGGCAATTAAGTTAGCATTTCCCCTCAACCTCGCTTTCGATCCGCCTACGACATAATAATACATTTATCATAAATATCTCTATGTACACAGAGTTTAAAACTCCAATAAAAAAAATGCGGAAGACAATGTGCGTCACAATTTTACTTTATCTTATTCATTACAACTTTAAATAATCATTATCTTACATGAAACGTATGGTTTATAATTTATAAAAAAATAATAAATATCTCAAAGACTAAACGACCTCTAGCTATACAACAGTCACCAATAAAAAAAACTTGTGTGACTCACATTTTAAATTATATTGTGCATATAAAGAAAATGTACGTGTAAAAAAACTTTCATTGTAGAAGATTATTACCTAATGTAGATATATACCCATGTTGCACTGAGCGAAGAAGTTATGATATCTAGTAGTTGTTTATTTAAATAGATTTAATAATAATATAAATATAATTCCAATATCTTACGAATAGTTGTACAAACAAGTTTTCTCCTTGGTTTTTGCCTTAACCTAAATTGGACTGACTGACAAGGAGTTTGCCTTTTACAACGCTTTTTATGTTATTGTTTTTGTTTACTGATGTTGTGGTCAGTTATATTGACTTGAACTTTCTCAGTAATATGTAAATTATTTTATTTAATATATGTATATATATATTTTTTTTTGTAAAAAGTATATTTTTTATATACTGTGATAAAAAAAACAAATATTATTCCACTGACAATCTTGTTTCTCTTTTTAACAAAGACAATTTTTTTTTTCAAATAATTCTTTAACGATTTTGTTAAAAAATATTGTGTAGTAAGACATTTTGTTTAACCATAATAAATGATATTTTATCTACTTAAAATTAAGTAAATATTTATAGAATGTTATCATCTCGTGATAAATTACCAAGTTCTCTCATCACAATCTTTATGATCAGTACGACCCCCAATTGTACGATTGAATAACACACGAGGCAAATCATTCGGTTGCGAGGTTTTCTGATCACTCACCGTTCCGATCACTAAGCACTCAAACGAGTCAAATGTACGTGGAAAATTTCATTTGTACTACGAAATAATTTTCGCATACGGATGCTCTACGTGGCCATACTGTATGGCGAGCAACGTGTCCTTCAGTCTTTGGTATATCGGTTGAGACTGTTGCATGGTAGGAATGCCGATGTTCTCGTCAAGGTAGCCGATGTTTTTGATTGGCGTCACAACGGCCGCCGTTCCCGCACCGAACATCTCCAACAACTAAGAGTTGAGGAAGATTAAAATATGTTTAGAGTATTCAGCTATTCTCTTATAGGAAAATAGTACAGTCGTTTTAATTTTATATACTTTTACAGATTATAATCAAAAACTCGTGGATATGATATTCGGAGACAAAGTTTATTGTCTAACATAAAAATAACGAGCCTATAAAACTAATTTGTAATGATTTGATGATTAAAATTAGCGAACTTTGGTCTGAAAATCTTAAAGTTGTCCTTAATTATACGGTTTTCTGGACAAAGTTCGTTCGATTAGTCATAATATTCTACCATTAATAAATTATATGTTTACTTTATTAAGTGAAGTAATTATAAGTGTTAAGGTGATAGACTTACCCGCCCTTCTTTATTGAGTTGAATAACACGATCCATAGATATGTTTTCTTCTTTGACAGTCAAGTCCTCCCATTGACTGGCCAACTCAAGTATAGAGCAGCGCGTTATTCCAGGCAATATAAGTCCGTTAAGTGGCGGCGTGCTTAGTTGTTTATCTAAAAAAGTAAACATTTTATCAAAATCTAATTATATTCTCAAACATGAAAAAATAATATATGTACAACATTAATTAATATTCCCAGATAAGTGTTTTAAAATTAGTTAAAACTGTGGTGGCTGCAAATTGCAATAAAGATTTCATTTAAAGATCAGAAGTCTAGAAAAATATATGATGTTAGTAACCAGTAAAATTGCCTCAGATGATATGAAACGAGCATAATATACTGGTCAGAGGGTCACAGCGCTATCATCACGATAACAAAACAATGTGTAGCGTCTTACACCGATATAAAATCAATAACGCTCTAGGCCAAGCTTCGTTAAATGAAATAGTACGTATTTACTTCATCATACAATATTTAAAGATAATTCCGAATGACACTTACATTAGAATATAGCTATGCAGTCATTTAGCTTAACGATTGCTTTTACTAACCTCCTTGTTCGTTGACATAAACTATGAAAATATTCATAGATCCGACCTCAGTTAGATTTCTATTTGGGCCAAACAGCCATAATACTTGATGATGTCCTAGCTTTGCAGCACGAGCCGTAGTCTCTACAATTTAAAAATAATAATTGTCAAACATTGTTTATTACTTATATAAAATATGTTTTTTAAGTGTATCTACCATCTCATTGATTAAAAATCGGTAAAAAAGTATAGTTGATTGTAAATTGATAAAATAATTAATAATACCTATAGTTGGTCCATAGTTGGAACCCACTTTCCTATTTCCAACTCCACCAGGAAAAGCTCGTACTACATTAGGATCTGCGTAAATTGACACGGCTCCATCGGTCTTGTAATAAGAACCCACGGGGCTCAAAATCACAAACAACAGGGCTGAGTCGGAAGCCACTATTCCAAATGTCGGCTATAAAATAAAACAATAACTAAAATACAATTTACTGCGTTTTAAACGCTTTAACAGATAGTTTTGCCACTACAAATATTAAAGAAAAATGGGGGAAAAAATGTCATAAAAGCTTACTATACTTAATTATTTGATCTAACACATTACTGTAGGTGCATATGTGTCCTTTCTTATGAATTGTTTCAATTACAATTATAAGATTTTGCTTTGATTTAAATTTGGTTTAATAAGCACATGTAGTTTTTTTTAAATCTTTATTAAAATAATATGAGTGTAATAGAGATTAACATACATATTTACATACTTGGTATGAAATGTTTTTTCGAATTGAGTAAATTAAAACAAATACTTAGATTCTGATAGAAGTGTATTAAAAAATATTAAGTACTAGCATTGCCCGCGGCTCCGCCCGCATTCAGATGACCAAAAAAAATCCTAGGATTTACATATTAGTATACTCTTAGGTACATTGCAGTTTTTGTATTTTTTCTTAGAAATGAGACAATTTCCCGGGGTAAAAAGTATCCTATATGTTGACCCGGATAACCAGCTATCACCATTCCAAATTTCATCAAAATTCCTCCAGTGGTTTTTCTGTGATGCGGTAACAGACAGACAGACAAAAATACTAAAAACTATAGATTCGGCTCTGTATCGATCATAATGTCTATTTCAATGAGATTTTCCAAAAAGTATTTAATGTACAGATTCGGCTTAGTTACAATTTTATTATATGTATAGAAGATTAGAGTAATGTACTAACTGTAAATTATTAGAAATGTGAGTCTTACCTCTGTACCTATTAACGTAGGCCGAACATATAGCGTCGCTGTTTCGGAGTGAGGTACCCATTCTTGATCAATTTGAATAAGTCGGGTTATGCACTTAATTAATTCATCTCCGTCAAACGTTGGTAATCCAGATCTTTGGGCTGCTAGATTCATTCTTTTCATATTGAGGTCAGGACGAAACAATCTTATTTTATCATCAATTCCTCTATATGCTTTCATGCCTTCAAATAGCTGTAACGTTTAAATTAATACCTAAATCAAAAAGTTTATAATAATATTAGGAGGTAACGATCTAGTATCTCAATGATTATTTATTAGCTTTTTAGTTATTTCCATATTATAGCGATCTAAAAGTATCAAGTAAATACATAAATAATTTTTAACTATGGTTTTTCCATTTAAAGTCAAATAAAGTACCTATTGAACATTTTGCGGTTTGCCACTCTTACAATTATAGAGATGTAACCCAGAATTTTAAAATTACAAGATACCTACTTAAGCCGATATTAAAAAAAAACAAGGTTTACATCGCTAATTCAAAACTCTAAAATTTACTTGCCAACATAATGTTATTATATTTTGACAAATCATAGATTATGTATTTTTTAACCGACTTCCAAAAAGGATTTTTTATGTATGTTCACCGATTACTTTATTTTTTTTTGTTTCAAAGGGTATACTTCCCAGGTGGTCCCATATAAACTTTATCGAAATCGGTCAACGGTTTTTTTTAAATAACAAAAAAAATATTTTTTTAAATAAATTCTTTAGTCGAACATGTTATGAAAAATCTTTCATCTAAGAAATTACCTGCTTATTACGTCTACACTAAATATGGACAAATAAAAACTTAAAAAAAAACTGACTTCCAAACACTAAAATGTAAAAAATAACTAAACGGGGGTTTTCATTTAGAATAGACCTAATCAGATATTTTCGAAATCGGTGCCAGCCGACAATATTTTAAGATATGAATATCTATTAGGTAAATTATTATGTGTTTTAAGTATCGAAATATATTAGATTTGCTTTGCATCGGTTACAAATATGTAAATACGTACTTGTATTGCATAATGTAGAGCTTTGGACGCTGGATGTATACTTAAGTTTTCGAAGGGACTAACTTCTGGTTTTTGCCAACCTCCGAGATGCTTGTGGTAATTTATTTTTAGCATATGGTCGGTGAAATATTTTCCAAAACCTATGTCGCTAACTTCAGGCTTTGGTCGCAACTGATATGGTGCTGCTAGTCTGACTTGTAAATCATCATACTGTAAATAAAATTATAAAAGACTACCTTTAAGTAAAGCTGTATTGTAATCAATATACATATAATAAATTAATAAAAATATATTGTCGTCCATATAATCTTTGTTTACTTTATATAACTTATGATCTAAGCCCTACGATTGTCAACCGGCCGAGCTAGAGGGTCTGCTCTACCTACGTTTACTAGGTTTAGTCAACTGATCTCATTCGCGAGTGCTTGTCTGAACCGCCTTTTGTACTAGTGTATATATATATATATATATATATATATACACATACATATATACATATATATACAAAAACGTAACCAATCGTTACGCTGTTGTGTACCTAAGGATATTATCTTTGTATCAAATACACACATCAACACTGTCTAGGGATATTTCACGTTTATTAGCATAAAAAAGAACTGGCCAGTTAGAAAAGATTTAAACGTCAATTAAATAAAAAAAAAAGAATAGCAGAAGCGACAACATTTTAATTAACTTTATAACAATACATTTTTTTCCTTGTGTGTGTTACAGATGTAAGTAACTGTTTTTAAACAAAATTTTAATTTTTTTGCATGTTTAATAATTAAATTAATTATTTTTTTGGTTTTAAAGTTACAGTCCGAACACCAGGTCCTGGTTAGCGTTCAAACTGTCACGAGGAGACTGCACGAAGTCAACCTTCATGATCGTAGACACTTAGGATTCCAGCACTTCGACGAGTCAATCGCGGACGAAGATTAGAATGGGCTAGCAAACATTTAGCTCCATCCATCCATAGCAAGATGGTATGGGCGGGAATACACTCGGGCGAGAGAACTAACCTCTTTTTGGTACACGGCAACATAACTGCTGCAAAATTTTGGGATGAGGTGCTGGTACCTGTAGTTCGACTACACTGGCTGCAAATGGGTCAAGGTTTTATGCTCATGCATGATAATGCTCGCCCACATACGGCTCGAGTGGTAACTCAGTTGCTACATCAACATAATGTGGCGACCCTGGACTGACACGCGCAGTCCTCACATTTAAATCCGATTGAGCATGCGCGGGATATTCTTCAACGAAGGGCTTTACGTAATTTTTCCGAAAACCTGGTGATTGACAGTGAACTTTTCATGCATGCGTCGCACCTGAGATTTTATCCCACAAGGAAATATGAATAATCGTTCCAGAAGCGTTATAAATGTTTGAGGTGCTTTTACAGATATATTTTTTTGTACAAAATTTAATGTTTCATTCAAATATTTTTCGTTCTTTAATCGCCAAACTCAATAAGTCTTGTTTGAGTACAATGATAACTTTTGTTTATTTTTCCTAAAGTAATCCTTTAAAAAATGAACCTCAATTTTTTATTGAATTTCCTGTTAGGGTATAAAATTTTCATATTAGGATGCTTTAAGAAATTATTTATAGTTTCTTTTCAATTTATTAATAACTAAAATATCCCTAGATTGTGTTGATGTGCATGTTTAGTTGTAAGATTCCTATGCTGGATAAAGAATTCAACTTTGACTTTTGGATACATAATATGTATTTGTGCATATTGCTAATATATACTTTACCTTGAATGAGACCTCGGGGTTTGTTTGTGGAGTTTGTGGTGCTGTGATGGTTTCCTGTTCGACGTGTGGGCTCTCTTCAACCTCTTTGTAACGCAATAGTGAACTGCAACACCGTATCGTCTGCATTTTGTGCTGGTTTTCGTATATCCATTTTATTAAAACCTTTAATAAATACATAAATTAACTTAGTGTATAATAAATATTAAATAATTGTGGGTATAAAAATTGTGTTATAATCAGTCATCTATAAAAAAATTGTAGTTTTTATAATTTGGATCAAACATAATAGACAAAAAAGTTTTAGTAAAAAATATATGTAGAACTTAAAATTTTACATAAAAAAAGTATCATGACTTTTTTTCCTCCGGTCAAAATAAACCGAGTTAGGGAGGTTTTAAGTTTAAGGGATGAATGTAAATTTAAAAAAATCGTAGTAGAAACATAAGCGAATTTTAATTTCCCTTAAACGTAAAACCTCCATAACTCGGTTAAAAAACCTTTTTGATGTAAAATTTTAAGCTCTAAATATTTTTATTAAAACTTTTTTGTCTAATTTTTACCGTTTTCGAGTAATTGCGGAAAAACATTTTTGAAAATTTTTTTTCAACCCTTACGACACGAAAACCTTTACACATTAATTTTGTATCATTAAAACTACATTATATCAAAAATGCAAAGTTGAGTGCCAACAGTTTGATTTCAGACCTTATTTGACTGGACTATATAATAAGTGCATGTTATCTAATTCTGCTTTAGACAAAACTTTAGTCCAGGCGCTGTACATTCTCCAATGCTTTTCTAGAGGCGAACCCGAGCGAAGCGAGGGTGAACCGCTAGTAACTAATAATAATAATTGGGTGTAATGATTTTCAAATGTGTGAGTACCATTTTGACTCGCCCTTCGAGGGTTCCATAACGCCGAATATTGTTTTGTTTCTACTAATATCTTTATTCTTTACACACTTTAAAAATCTTTAATGCTTTCACAACACACACGTTATTACTTGCAAAATTAAGCTCGTGTTTCTTAAATATATTATGGAAAATAAATTAAATTTGGTGATCGTAACTCAAAATATCCAGTATCTTAAAAAGATATTTAACGTAAATTTTGTAAATAAATTTTCTTTCAAACTTCAGCAAAGTAGCAAATTAATTAGCAAATTTCACTATCTCTTTTTTGGCACCTTTTTCTTCTCCATCTTTCCAAAGTTAGAAAGTACAATGATAGGTCCAACTCGCATACAATGTTTACGACTCTAGAATCATTTAACTCGTCTAATATAGCTTTTTTAACTAACAGGCTACTAACATCTACGTTATCTTTAAAGACCCTATGTTATGTACACCTGAAACTAACAGTCTCCCTCCTTTTTTAAGATAAATCATCCCCTATTTTACCCCCTTATGGGATGAATTTCGAAAAACGCTAAAAACCAGTTTATTTAATTGTATTGAGGAGCATTAATACCAAGTTTAAAGTAATTCTGATCTTATATACATATATATATGTATGTATCCATACTAATATTATAAATGTGAAAGTGTGTTTGTTTGTCCTTCTTTCACGTCGAAATAGAGTGACGTATTGGCGTGATTTTTTGTGTGGAGATAGTTCGAGGGTTGGAGAGTGAATAGGCTCTTTTTTACCGCGGAATATTAGCTCATTCCTACGGGAAAACACGTTATAATACTTCTTACTTCTTCTTATTATTCTAAATTCGTACCCTGAGAAAGTAAAATATTTATTATCAGGGTCGAATTGACTTAAAAATCAGCATGTTATTGACTTAATTAACGAAACAGTTAAATACTTAAACAGCCTTTTTTATTCCATTTTTTTATATTCAAAATCATACAGTTAGAAATCATTATAGGCATCAAAGTATTAGAGTACCACTAATAGCATAAAGCCAAAGAGTTTTTTTGCAGCTTTAGCCCGAGCGAAGCCGCGGGTCCTGCTAGTTAGTAATATTTTGTTAGCCGAAAACATTTTTAAAATACATATGTTTGTAAATAATTTTTGCGCTGATCTTTAAATCTAAAACCCTGGCAAGTGCCAGTCTGACGAGGTTCCGTACCACGAAATATTGTAAATCAGTTTTACATTTATTGTATTGTATTTACAAACATTTAAAAAGACTTATAAACATTCATGAATATGGAAATTAAATGATTTATTTCTTGGTTGTTTAAACGCACTAACGCCGGCGGCGCGGAGCTCATATTGCTAATCTATACATACATACATACATACATAATACATATACATATATTACTTAGGTAGTAACAAAATGAAATCTGTACATGATTTTTTTAAACAATGACTGTAATATATTTTGTGCAGAATATAAACCTCAAAACAATAGGTATTAAAAATTTTGTCTGTTTGTCTGTATATCTATGTTCATTTCACGCAAAAAGTACTGAACCGATTATAACTAAATATGTGTAGTGATAACTTGTTATTTGGATCAACAATTGGATACCTTGTACTACACGAAAATATTTAATTCGTCAGGAAAACATCATAATCGATTCTGTCGAGTCGTCGTTAGTATATGGCTTAGCCTCTTAACGCTTGCTAAACCGAGATATATCAAAACAATGTACTAGAAAATTGTAGGTCTTAAAAAGGCCAACAGAAAAATTTGCAATAGCATAAGTCTTTCTTTTTGGCGCGGCTACATTAGCGGGATACAGCGAATATTCGTGTTATCGCGACAAGTGTGGCCGAGTAGTTTGGCGCATCACGTAGTATTCGGGTGATGACAAATGCTTATCGCAGCACTGTCGGTAAACTGGTGCGCATCAAAGGGTTTTAGCGCGACAATATTCGCTTGCGTGGCTACACTTAGCCACTTGAGTTGCAGTCCAGACTTTGAGCGGAACAGACGTGTGATATTTTGGCGGTAAAGTGACGACGCAACTACAGTATGGATTAGAGCAATGAAAAAATGTCAGTAAATTATAATTATTATTTTTTATTATTGTACGAATACCATTTAGATTCAGATGTGAGCTGTTTTTAATTCTAACCCACGCATTATATACAAAAATTCGTTTTGTGTTCGGGGTTACGAGGATCCCGTATAAATTATAATACTCTCCGTTTCATAAAATTGAATAAACTCTAATATCTTTTCATTGCTCCATTCCATACTGTAGTTGTGTCGTCACTTTCCCGGCAAAATATCACAAGTTCGTTCCGCTCAAAGTCTGGACTGCAACTCAAGTGGCTAAGTGTAGCCACGCAAGTGAATATTGTCGCGCTAGAACTCTTTGATGCTCGCCAGATTACTGACAGTGCCGCGATAAGCATTTGTCATCGCCCGAATACTACGCGTGGCGCCGAACTACTCGGCCACACTTGTCGCGCTAACACGAATATTCGCCGTATCCCGCTAATGTAGCTTCGCCATTAAGGTACAATAACTAAATTATATCTACTTAAAACGTACTCGTACCTAGGGACGCACCCGAGCGAAGCGGGGATAAGTCGTTAGTTGTAAATAAATAAGGAAGTTAAAATATTATGGATATATCCATTCGTGATGTACCTATTTATATGTATATCATATCGAAATAGATTTGCTTTGCATTAGCTGACACCGACTTCACGAAGTAGGTAATTATGTATCTATCTATTATCCTAAATAAAAACCCTCGTTCAGTTTTTTTTAGTGTCTTGAAGTCGGTTTAAATTATATATTAGTGTAGATGTATTAGTATTAACTACTACATAGGTTCTACAGCATTACTATAAGTGTATTGAAATACTTTTTGGCTGATTTTATAAGGAGGAAATACCTAATTAATTCTGTTGTATATTTAACGCGATGTTTTTGCCAACTGCGAATTGATTTTCATTACTCTTTTTTAATGAGAATTGTTTATAATCAAGAAGTCATTCTTGATTATAAACAATTCATTCATATAAATTTCAATTAAAAAATTATGTGAATTTAAAGTCGTTGTACCTCTTTACACATCATTTTGTTTGCGAATTATTTAAAAAAACTTTGTTAATAATTTTATGCAAAAGCGTCTTGTCAACCGACTGCGGCGTAGTATAATGGAGGGTTATGTGTCAGTGTGTATGTAGGTATGAGTTATGACCGATCCTATCTTCTCTCGTATTTACTAAACGGCTTCACCGATTTTTATGAATTAAATACGTCGTAGATCGTCGGCTAGTTTTCGTAGCTAATAATTTTCAGAGTGACTATTCGCCCGATCTCTAAGGGTCTACGGGAAGGTTTTCCATAACTGACCCGTTGAGCGATTGATTTTAGTTTAAGCTCAGATCCACGGGAAAATTTCCCTTACTACTCAGAATTTTTACATTTACCTATAAATAAGTTTTCAAAAACAAATTATGTTATTAAAATAATAAATTTATTATATGTAGGTACTTTGTTTTTTAGCTTGTGTCAATTTTTATTGTGTCAATGTTGTTAGTAATTTACTGTTTTGAATTAATTCTTTGTTATGTTTGCCTTCATATTTTTTTTATTAATAACTAATATGTTTGGGTCTGATTTTTGGATATCGATAACCTTTTTTAAAATGACTCAACTTTTAACCGACTTCCAAAAAGGAGGAGGTTCTCAATTCGTTGGATTTTTTTAACGCGAGTATATGTTCACCGCTTACTCGAAGACGCCTGAACCGATTTGGATTTTTTTGTTTCGAAGGATATACTTCCCAGGTGGTCCCATTAAAATTTTATAAAATTCGGACAAGCAGTTTTTTTTAAAATTAAAAATTAATTATTTTTTTAAATTAATTGACATTTTCAAAGTCGGTGCCAGCCGGCAATGTTTTAAGATATGAATATCTAATAGGTACATATGTATTTTGCCTATCGAAATATGGGTATTAGATTTGCTTTGCATCGGCTAGCACCGACTTGGAAAATATCTGATTAGGTATCTGTTCTAAATGAAAACCCCTGTTTAGTTATTTTGTACATTTTAGTGCCTCGAAGTCGGTTTTTATTTATTTTTTAAAGTTTTTAATTCATTATATTTCACACGGAAAAAAATCACTAGCTGCTACAGTTTTTTTTTATCAGCTGGCGATTAATGATGTGTGTTTCAAAAGTTATTATGTAGTAAATCGATAAAAAATCAAATAACAGGAATGGAAACCCTCTCGGA